TGAGTTTCAGGGCAGCCTAGATCACATAGCAAGTTAAAGACTGCCTGGACAACATAGCAAGACCCTATCTCAAAAACCCCAAACCAAAAATGTAATGATATTTAATATAAACAATATAGATGACATATAAAAATACATGCTCTGTAATCCCAGTATTCGTGAGGCTGAGGCAGGAGGATTGTCATTTGTTTGAGGTTTGCCTGGACCACAGAGCAAGACCTTGTCTCAAAAACCTAAAGAAAAAGAAAAAGGAAAAAAGAAAAACAATATTACATGCTAATAGATGAATAAATTTAAATGATCTATTTTAGTCTCTGAATATTACACATACCATAAAACTACGTAGTACTTAACACAAAATGTAGCAAAAATTATTAAACTATTTGGTAATTCATAAATGATCTGTTAGTATTTAGTTCCTGGGTGATCCTTTGTCTGATGTGGCTCTCACTCATTAAATGAGGCCTCTTTCCTGGATGTGGTATTATATTCCTCTAAGCCCAATACACTGGGAGACTGAAGCAGCATGATCAAAAGTTTGAGCCTTGCCTGGGCAACTTAATGACTTAGTGAATCTGGCCAATAAATAAACAGACAAACAGAGCTGGGGATGTAGCTCAGTGCAGAGGCCCTGGATTCAATTTCCATTAATACAATCAATCAATCAAGGCTGTTTCTGAACAATAAAGGGCTGGAGATGTAGCTTAGTAATTGAGCATTTGCTTAGCATGCATGAAGCCCTGCACCACTGCAAACAAAAAATAGACTACATCAAATTCTTTTTATGACTTTACTACATTTCCTCCTAAAGTGGCTTATTAATATTATTGGCAGTAGGAACTGAACCCAGGGCCTCACACTTGCCAGGCAAGTGCTGTGCTACAGCCTTGGCCTGTATTCTTAATATGTACAGAATGTCTCAATATTAACAACTGTTCATGGTTCTGAATCTTCTAGCTTTTATAATATTGTCAGATAGTTACATATTTAATTAGTAAAATTAAATTTTTTTGTGTGATGCTAAGGATTGAACAGAGCCTCACTCATTAGGGAAGTGCTTTACCACTGAGACACATCCTAAGTCCCAGAGAGATTTCACAGAACATCTTTATTACAATTTGAATGAGTGCTTTAATTATGTGATGTGTGGATGGGGAAGGGGCGTCCCAGGGATTGAACCCACTGCCTTCCCACTGAACCACATCTCCAACCCTTTTTTATTTTTTGAGATAGCATCTTGCTGAGTCACCAAGGCTGGGCTCAAACTTGTGTTCCTCCTGACTCAGCCTTCCAGGAATGAACTACTATGCCTTCCCAACAGTTGGCACAGTTTTTAAAGTTTTTATTCACCCATAATCCAGGGAGCTTCTAAAACATCATTTAGACAATGTAAGTGGAAAGTTTTAAACTCAATTTTTTCCTCTACTCCTATATCAAAATTTCCTTGAGTATTATTTCTTTATACACACGTCAACTTGGTGGTTCTCATACTTTTGAACTCAGACTGCTGACATAGTTTATTCAAAATTAAAACTAAGAAAAAAATTTTTTTGGTGGTACTGGGGATTGAACCTAGAGTCTTACACATGCTAGGAAAGTGCTCTACCACTAAACTATGTTCCCAGCCCCAAACTAAGCAATTATTAAAATATTCTTAATGTAATAGAAGACAACAATGCTCTCCAATTTGTTCTGCTTCCTTGCTTGACATGAGGTTAGCAGCCTTCCTCTGAGATTCCCTTCTGCCATGATGTTTCTGTCTTGGAGTCAACTGAACATGGCCTGAAACCTGAAATGCTGAGTCAGAATAAATTTCTCCCTTAAATTTTGTACCTCAAAAAAAACCAAAGAATGGGAAAAAAGTAAAACTGAAGCAGACATGGAACATTAAATGTGGGAAAATAGCTTCGGGGGGGGGGATAATATCCTGGAAACAAATTAGAACTGCTGAGAAAAATATAGGGGGCTAGAGGCAGCCCTTTTGTGCCAAAGAAGTTGAAAATTTGCAAAAGCCTATTGTTAGTTTTAAAAATGAAGGAGAAAATGAAAGGACTCTTTCTCAGTATAAGGTGTCAATGAGACTATTAAAGGTTCATTATAAATTAGCACAAAATACTTAATAATCTATATAACTCAGTGAAAAAATGGCATTTTAAAATGCTTTTACAGATCTTTAGTGCCTGACTTAAGAGAGCTGCATCTCCTGCTTTTGTGTATTTTTGATAGGCTGTTTCAGATTAACAAAAATTGGACTTCAAAGATATGTAATTGGAAAATGAATGCGTTAACTCCCTAACTTATTCAGAGACTGTGGCTATTCTGTGGTTACTACCCCAGAAGCTGACAAGTCATTGTTTCTTTCCTTTTTTAACTTTTGAGGCAGGTCTTGTTAAGTTGCTCAGGCTGGCCTCAAACTTGTCATCCTCAGCCTCCCACGCAGCTGAGATCACAGGTGTGCACTATTATTCCTGACAAGCAATTTTTTTTTTTTTTTTTTTTTTTTGGTACGAGGGCTCAAACTCACAACCTTGTGCTTGCCAGGCAGGCACTTACACCACTGAGCTAAATCCCCAGCAAGCAGTTGTTTCTTAAAGGCTGGTCGATATAGGATCTGAACCACATCAATGGACTTTCGTATCATATAACAATCTATTAAAGGACCTTGCACATTCAAAAGAACATTTACCTTCATTTGGTTTTGTACATCGTATGTTGGTAATTTATTTGGAAGGCATTAGCTCCTTGGGTTGCGCAGATCTTCCAAATGTTGGCACATTTTATGTTTTTTAAAAATCATGTTTGTTAACTAAATCTCAGCAGAAATACCTTTATCAACCTCACACTGAAGACCAGCTTTCTAATATAATAAAATTTTGCCTGAAAGCTCAAATTTCTAGCCTTGTAATAAATGTCAATGTTGCTTTCCTTGACACTGATAGGCCCAATTCATTAATTTTCAAGAAAATCAGGTCCAAAATGGTGGCAGTAGCAATAGCTGCATCCCGGAATTTTCAGCTGTTAAGCCGGTCCTGCCCATAGGAGGGGCGGCTTATGTGGAGTGGTGTCCTCTGTGAGGAGGGTTCAGCTAAGGCCCTCACCTTTTTTGTGGCACTCCCATGGGTGGCAGTGAGTAATGTTTTCCTGAAGTCGCATCATGGAGAAGAGGAGAGACCCAAGTTCATTGCCTACCCATACCTTGGCATCAGGACCAAGGCCTTTCCTTGGGGAGATGGTAACCATACCCTAATTCCATAATCCTTGTGTGAATTCACTTCTGACTGGCTATACATATGAATGAAGAGAACCTGGACCATTATTACCCAAGCATCAGGGAACAAAGCTCTGATTTGAACCATTACTCTGCAAAAGCTCTGATTTAAACCATTACTCTGCATTACTTTTCTGGACCAGAAAAGCATATAGGATCACAAGCTCACCTTTCTTGTATCAAATTATGACCATCGTACTGATCTTCCATCCCTTTACTTATGGCAAGAGATGGCCTAAATAAATAACTTATACTCTGATTGTTCTTTTAAAAAAAAAGAGAACATATCTCACACTTCAGTATAAAGTAGGAGTGCTTTTATAAAGCAGGAGTGCTTTATAAAAATTTCGTCTTGTCATATGATATTAAAAAAACAAAATTAGTAATTGTTACTGGTGCACCATAGATATTCTTACAGGAAGTTTGTCTTTTTTCTTTTCTTGGTAAGAGCATGGAGCTGAAATATACAATGATGACTGGTACAGTTTAGTGCCACAGTCCAGATTCCCACTAAATTCCCAGAAGTTTCACTCCAAACTGCTGTTGCATAACTGATGTAAATATTTAGTGATTTAAAAAATTCACACTTTAGTAATACTATGAAAGTTAGTTTTGGCCTCACAGCCCTCCACAGAATCTCAAGGCAACTTGGATACCTATCATTGATACTCTGTGAACTGCTGGACTAGCAAAGAAGAGGGTCATCTCAGCATCTTCCTATTAGTAGGAATAGACCATATGCTTTTTAACCTGAGGTATGGGAATGTTTAGTGTTAGAGTCTGGGCAGGTGAGCCTAGTGTTACTCAGGTTTCAGTCACCGTAATAAATACATAAGGGAAAATCATCTTTGGAGGAAACATTTATATTAACTCATGGTTTCAGAGCTTTCAATCAATCCAGGGTCAGATAGTTCCATTGCTTTTAGGCCTTGTGGTAAGACAGAAACAGTGTAACAGAAGGGGTAGGCACAGGCAAGTTGCTCATTTCATGTAAGGCAAAAAGCATCAAGAGTAGGGAGGACCAAGAGGAAGGAGCTAAAGACAAGCTATGCCCTTCAAAGGTGTTCCCCCAGGAACCTATTTCTCCCAACTAGGTCCTACTTCCTAGTAGTTCATTTAGTGAAGAATTCATCAATGGATTAGTCCACTGATGAGGTTAGCACCGTCATGATCCAATCAGCTCTCTAGGCCCCACCTCTCTGCTGCAGTGGAGATTAAATCCCAATACATGAGTCTTAGAAGGGTGCTTCATATTTAAACACTTAACAGCTCCCAAATCAGCTCCTGATGATTCTAAACTGGACACTGCAAGGAGCAGGCAAACTCACCCAGATTGAGCATCAGGGAAAGGGATGGGATGAGAAGGCAGAAGTGACGAGGAGGAGGAGTTCTTCAGGCAGGCGGGGCTGAGGGGGAGACACACATTTTAAACTGAGTGCTGCTTAAGCAAAGGCAGCAGCTCTGAGAACTAAAAGGGCACTGGAGACATGTAGTTCACCACTGAGGAGACTAAGTCTGTCAAGGTCTCAAATGCTCAAAAAGAATGTGGACTTTATTCATTGGATAACAGGGAGTTCGTCACATATACAGGTAGGTAAATCTCTATTTCCTAATGAAAAACATTGTTCCACAGCAAGACCATGTATTTCAGAAAAATATATATTGTTTTGCTTCTAAATAAGGTTTATCAATCTATTTAAACTTTTGAGAATGTTGATCAAATAGTCAGGTATCTATTTATAATATCTAATTTATTTAGTCACACATGCTTATTTAAAGTAACAGTATATACAATACAGTAATACAAAATATTGCTTTTTTTCCCCATTTGCACATTTCAAGTAACAATTTTATTCATATTCTCCACAAGCATTTTATTTATCAGTCTTCACGATATTACAGCTTTCTTGAAGTGAATCTCCTTCATCTATATCTGAGAGGCAGCATTTTTTTTTCTTTGGGCAATGTTGGGGATCAAACCCAGAGCCTTACACATGCTAGGCAAACACTATACCACTAAATTACACCCACGACCTGAAATGCAGCACTTTCAAAATACATGCCTGACATTCTCAGTGGAAAGCTTGATCCAAACTGTTGCCTTAGGATTATCCTCCTCCAGCCCAGTTTATCATGTAGGTATACATTTCTAATCCTTACACTAGAACCACATGCTTATTGCTCTTGAAATAGCGCTTTGAGATGCAGTTTGCAACACTTTACTCGAAGTATGAGGGAATGTGTTCCTAGAATAATGACTATGTTTTCTCCTTCCCTTCTTTTAACTCATTCCAACTGGAGAACCATTAAAAAAATCTGCCTTGCTTGAGGGTGGTAGACCAAAATGTGTGAGGAGCAGCCAGAGGTAGAACAGTTCCAAGAAATGACAACCAACTGGTTATAGGGTGACTAAGGAGTAAAATGGCAATAGACTAAAGCTGGCGGTTAGGTTTTGGGCAGATCACCAGGGACAGTAATGCCTCCTGGAGTGGGAATGGAATGAAGAGGACAGCCTCCCCAGGTAACAAGGGTTTGAATGAGGATGTGGAAGAAAGGTCCTGCCCAGGAGCTTGTGGACAATGCTGCCAGAGTCAGTCCCTGGCTAGCTGGGGCCAGGAGACTCCCGCATGTGTCAGACCTGGAAAGCAATGGTATTCTGAGAAAAAATAAAATAAAAAAGGGATATACAGAATGAGCAAGTCCTGGAGAAAGACGGAGATGGCCAGGAAGGGGAAGGGAAGTTATCCCCTTAAATTGCTCACAGGTTTTTTCCTCTCACAGTACTCGTATAGTGAACTGCCATTCCATTTTCAAGACTGCAAGGAAAGCAGGCAGTGTGTCTTCCCTGGATATTGCTGTATTCCCTAGCAGCTAGAAAAGGTAAATAACAGGGCTCGGAAAACAGGTGCAGAGGAAGGACCCAAGAGCAAGATGAAGAAGAAGGGAAAGAAAAAAAGAAAGTATTAAGGAAGGGCCTTGGAAAAGTGAACAGCAAAGGAGAAAGAGGTCAAGGAAAGCATGGTCAGGATCTCAGTGTGCAAATGGCATCAAGCATCTGGGAGACAAAATGGAAGGAAATGGACCAGACAGGATTTATGAAAAGAGTTCCTTGGGGACCTTGGGTGTCACTCCAACAGTCTTAAGTCTCAACCCTGGAAGAGTATGTCATAGTCCCTGTCTCCAGCAAAGGCTGGGAAAATAACAAGTACTGATAACTACAGCATCAACATCATCATCTGGGAATTTGTTACAAATGCAAATTCTGATGCCACCCTGCATTTTACTAAATCAAAAACGTCTTATTAAGTCTTTCAGAAGATCCAGATGTGTATGAAAGTTAAAACAACTACGGGCTCACGGTAATGGATGGGATGTTTTCAATTTTAAAACCCCAACTCCCTAACTTTTTCTTAAGCCTTGACATCTGCTGTACTAGTCTGTGATAAAATACCGACTAGTGGCAAGATGAAAGAAAGAGTAGCACACAACTATTTGCAGTCTGACAATATAGTGAGGAAGAGCGAGCCTTGCTGTTTGCGTTTGAGTCTCAGCTATGAGATCCTGGAGAAATTTCTTTACCTGGTAAGCCTCAGCATCCTCATTTATAAGAGGAAAAAACAAGCACTTTACCTTGTAAGATTGTTATGAGGATTAGTAGAGATCGTGCCTAGCACATGTCAAGTACTCAATTAAAGAACTCACAAGAAGCCCATCACTTCACGGAATTACCAAAAACCTAGTTGTTTTTCGAAGGCCATGATTTTATATCACACGCACAAAATAATCTTATATTAGTTTTCTTGCTCTAAAACATGTACCAAAGCTCTGCAGAGAGCTAAGACTAATCCTGTGACTTCTACAACTTGTCATATTCAGAGAGAGACTAGCCTTGATGGTCTGAATCAAGATGTTGATACCTTGATCAACACCCAAGTGTCAGAACCTCTAGTCTTGTACTAGAGTCTTGTGGAAGGTTGAGGCTGGGAGGCAAAAGGAGTGTAATAACTTCTCAGTTCCTCTGCCTACCCTCTCCAGAGTACAGTTCTCCCCATTAGCTCAGCAGGAGCTTGATGACTTCCAGTACTGATGGGGAACAGGAGTGAGAGGGTTACATCATGGGCTCAAAGGCAACCCTGAATAAAAATACCAGAACATGTCTTATTATTACTTAACTTTTTTTTTTTTTTTTTGTCTTTTTCCTTTTTATCGGTACCGGGGATTGAACTCACGACTGCCTGCTTCCAAGGCAGGCGCTTATGCCGCTGAGCTAAATCCCCAGCCCCTATTACTTAACTTTTTAGTGCTACTCAACTCAGGGTCTCATACATCGTCAACATGTGCTCTCCCACAGGGTGACATCTCCAGTCGACCATATACTTCAATACAACCTCTAATTTTCAAGTTCACCTCAGAACCTGTAAGGGGCAGAGCAAGGAAGTTTTACTTCTTCCTGTGTCCCTATACTATAAATAGTACTTGACATTCACAGGGTGAACATTTATTAAACCAACAGTTCTAATTAAAGGAAGGATGGCTGCTTCCTGGTAAAATCTGGGTGGGTGTGTTGAGGCTTTGGTGAGGTTCTGGGCTTCGACCCACCACTTGGAGCTATGCTTAATCTTAAGGGTCAAGTCCTGGTCAGGTGTTTTTTTCAATTAGAACTTGTTGTACGGCATGTGGGGTTTTATTATATTGCAGGCAGAGAACAGCTTAGGTTCATTTAGGGTTGTGCTGAGGGGCACATTTAAGACAAAAACTTAGAAATTCAAAGCTGGAGGAAATACCACAATTGGCACGATCTTCATCTCTCATTTGCTCCTTGTAAAATCACAATTTCTTTCTAGGTTTTGTATCCACCCACCATAGATTGTCTGGGCCAAGAGGATCCACCCATTCTAGATTGGGTTTATACCCCGTGCTCAGGGGACACCTAAGGGCCCAGTCCCACAGATGCCTCAATGGTATCAGGGGGTTGTGGATGTACTCTCATCCTTAAGCAAGAGGCTTACTGATTCCAGGTAAGTTCTGTGGCATTTTGACTATATCAGAAGCAGGTAGTTTGAAAGCAACAAATTGAAATACTTCTTCTTTGCATAAAATCACACCAACAAAAATATTTGCTTTCCTCTATGCCAGGTAAGCAAATAGCAGAAACCCTCCCTGAATATGAATGTCCTCAGGGTCTCTGCGCACACCAGTCCCCTCCAATGCACTTCCCGGGCATCCTTACCTATCTAGAATCTACAATATCCTTTCCCTCTGAGACATTCCCAAACTTGTTTAAAGACGAGAGAAGCATTTTCAGTGCCCATCTGAAAGGGACTCAGAAGTTTGCTGTTATTGTGAGTACCCTGCAACCCCTTGGCCAAGTTCATATCTTGAAGAATTTACTGAGATTTATTTCTTATTTCGTGACACCAGCCAAATGGCAGAGATTTGGCTTAGTGTACAGAAGTGGTCAGCATTTGTAGATTTTGTAATACTTATGCTCTCTTCCCATTTTAAACTTTGGTTACTCAGTAATTGAAACTCCTTCTAGAATTATTACACTGCTAAGAAAGTGGGAATCATGTTTATCCTTCAGTAGGATGTAGAATGCAGGAAAAGGATCTAAGTAATTTTTCACTATAAAAAGGGTCTTTTCTCCCTCCTCCTATCCTATATTGAAAATTGACCCAAGAAACCCTGAGCTACATCCCCAGCCTTTTTATACTTCTAAATTTTGAGACAGGGTCTCAATAATTTCCCTAGGTTGACCTTTAACTGACCTCCAGCTTCAGCCTCCTGAATACCTGGAGGGGGGGCAAGAGGGTCTTTAGTTCCATCAGGTAGTACTGTTTTGAGGGAATACACAAAATAACCAAAGAAGGTTTACTGGAGAAAAATTCTCTAGAATTCATCAGCACATGTATTGAACACATATAATGATTAGGAACCAAGAGCAAGTTGGGTAGCCCTTTAGTCAAGATCTTTTTGGTTGCATGTAGTAAAAATTCCCTCCAGGCTGATCTTTAAAAATCAAGATTCATTCTGTGCATACCTGAGGAATAAGCACAGGTCAAGGCAAAATGCAGAGCTGGACACAGAGACCTGATGAGTGCAGGCCAAGGTAAGGATGCAGGACTAGATGCCAAGACCACGGGAGTCCTCAGGGTTACCAAGGCAGCTCCTCTCTCGTGCTTGCATTCCTGCCTCTGTAGGTGCCCCATCCAAGAACTGCCTCGAGCCTTTTTAGATCAGTTCTACTCTGGTCCAATCAACTAGAAGGCAGGGGAGATGGTGAGAAAGAAAAAGTCCCTGTGCACAAATACGGCCCTCACTCCGTAGGAGTATATGACGTGAATTAATTTTTAGTCAGGCAGGTTCCAAACTGTGTTAGAGAAATCAGCTGTTTCACCAGGTGCTTAGTACTCAGTACTTAAAGCAACAATAATGTTTTACTTTCTTCAATTCAGAATGACACTCCTCTCCGAAGTTCTATTGAACTAGTCAAAATTCTAGTACTATAAACGATTTACATTTCATAAAACTCTGCTGAATATTGAAACCCAAATAGAAAAAGTTACAAAAGCTTGGTCCCTGTTTTATTGCTCATCATTTGCTTTATACTCATCAAATCTTATCAAAGTGATGAAGACACACCAAGTTACAAAGGTATCACTTTCTCACTAATATTTCACTTTTTAAACAATTTATGTTGATGTCAATGACATGATAAGGATGAAGGGTGTTTAAATAATTCCTTGATCTTATAAAAACTTTGCCAGGGAATCACATTTTGTGGGTACACTGCATGGTCCCTGGAATGTAAGTGAGTGCTCAATGTTAGATGGACCCAATTCCAACTTTCAAATGAGTGTAAGGATCTAATTTAGATTGTACATTAAATCTAACTAATAATTCAGGCCACAGTGCTTTTATCTCTCTTAGCAGGTCACAGCTGACCTAGTCTCAAACCTGTTATTTTTCTCTTTATAAGAAGATTACAACTACTGGTATATGTAACTCAGAAGCACAAAATGTATACTGAGAAATGACCAGAAATTATCTCAATGGAAACCACTAGTTTTTAGCCTAGAGTTTTACGGAAATTGTTATTTCAAAACATGCAAAGGCAGCAAAAATCATTAAAACCACATTTTATTCAATGACCTTTATATTGCTTTTCTCTTGTTTAAAGTTTGAAGCAATGTGAAACGGATGGAATTTTTTTTTTTTTTTTTTGTACCAGGGATCGAACTCATGACCTTGTACTTGCCAGGCAGATGCTTACGCCACTGAGCTAAATCCCCAGCCCGAAATGGAAGTATTTTGTTAAAAGAACAAAATGAGTTAATCACACACACTATGCATATATGTACACACAGATATATGTACATATATGTGTGCATATATATGTGTATATTTTAACCTCAGTTCTATGCCTACACTGCTAACACAAGGCTGACTCCAATAGTGACTCATGTTCTGGATATGGACATATTAGGAAGGATCAATATATAAAGAGCCATCAATGTCCTGAAAGCAGAAAGTTGACACAATTTTAAATATAATTTATATATATATTTAAAATCAAACACAATTAAATAGAATATGGTTTAAGTACATGAATACTTCAGCTTTAGAAGAATAACAGAGGTGGTACATGGTACCAAAACTTATACACAGCCTTTTTGCTTCTTTTCTTCAAACAGTGTGCCTCTACACAATTGGATTACAATGAAGTAAATTCTTTATTCAGTCAAGATTTTCTTAAAAAAAAAAAGATTTTCTCAAGACAGAGGTGATTAATAATTAATTATATATACATATATATGTATATATCTTTTTCTTTTTTCAAAGTCTGAGCAAAAGCAGTAACACCTAATAGAACTTTCTTTCTCCTCAGTCACATGCATCAAGGAAGGACTGGCGCAGCCAGGCCAGTGGAGTGTGCTCACCACCTGGAGGCTCTGTGGATGGCTGTGCAGACCCAACCAAAGCTAACTGAGCAGAAGTGCAGCAAGCAAATCGCTTACTGTCCTGAAGACAGGAAGGAAAATAGAACAAAACAAAACAGCACATTTCCCACTCTCACCAAAGAATGGAGAAAGCAGTCAAAGTCTGACTCCTTCTCTCTCCACCTTATTGAGTGTTAAAAAAAAAAACCCACAATCTCAGAATAAGCATTTTGTTCAAGATAGTACGAGTGAAAAACTGGAGTGCGTTTCTTTCCACGTTTTCTGAAGGGGAAGTTTAGTAACTGGAGTGCAGAATTCCAGAACAAATCTTAGTGTTCAATGTAAACTAGATTTGCTCCTTCATTAGCAGAGGAGAGACTGGTTTTAAGGATAGTGCATCTCAGGAGCAAGTAAATTGTGAAAACTGTATACTGCCACCAAAAGGAAGGGCTATGTCACTGAGGACTGAACAGTGTCTTGTTGGTTTCCTTCTAAATTAATGCTTCTGTGAAGGAAGACTACATAAAAGAATCCTCAACCTGTTCTATGAGCTTCTAGCCTCACACTGCCACTCGGAGCTACCTGGCTCTCGGTGGGGATGGCTCACATGTTAGTTTTAGGAGGATAAAGCAAAGCACCTCTGCCACATGCTTTATGATGCTGCTACGGATGGATTCCCACTACCAGAAAGTGTATCAAATACCGACTCTACATTTATCTGCCTCATACAGGATGTGGTCCCTGTCTATCCAGTGGACTAACTCTCTCATACATGAGTTATTGCCATTGGAAAATCAGTAATTTTCTAGTAATGTATATAATACCATATTGTATCTCTGTGACTCACTGTGTGAACATCATGTGCATCATTTAAGACTACATGTTACTCTGCATTATGGTCTAGGATTGTCTCCCATTCTTTCTTGGAAACAACAGTGATGCATCAGTGACAATAAATACAGTGCATTCTTTTCACTGGCTGTGTTGAAGAATCCAACCAAAGGACAAAGTTCTCTCATTTTTCAAAAGAAGATTCTTTTATCTCAGGCCTTGGGTCATAGCTGGGGGAGAAAAAAAAAGAAATATAAAGAGAAAAGCAAGGTACATTGCTATAACAAGTGACATTATTATTACAGGTTAATAAAAGCAATTGACACTCAGTGCTCACTATATGCCAGAGCTTTTTTATTTTGCACTCACAATCTTCTGCTTGTGCTTACCAGGCAAGCACTTGAACCGCTGAGCTAAATCCCCAGCCCGCTATGTGCCAGAGCTTTTGACAGTAGAAACTGACTGCAATCTTGTGGGACAAAATATTTTAATCATCCTCATTTATAAGTGAGTGAACACAAACTTAAAGAGGCTAAGTATTTGTTTTTTATTTTTATTTTGCCAATATATATTAGAGCAAACAATATAACCACTTTTTGAAAGAGTAATTCTACTTCTAGAAATTAATCAGCTCTATGGCACAACTGTAAGAGAGAGTAAGGACATGCAGACACTCATGAAATCACAGCTTATAACAGTGAAAAAAGCTCAAGCATCCTTAATGACTAGCCACAGGAATTAATTAAATAACTATAAAACCACAATTTGGAATATACCACAGTCTTTATAAAGGGAAAAAGAACTTGAATTAATTAGGCTCCCCAAACCAAGCTCATGAAGTTGAGTCCCTCCTTTTCTCCACCTGGGGGTAAACATGCATCATAAAAGACAGACTCTGCTATTTGTGAGCTGAGACATGTTCATGAAACAAGTCAGTAAGAATATGAGTGCGTTTACACTGAGTCTCTAAGTATATTCTATGAGCAAGTGTTAACTGAAGGTTTAAAGCACAAAGGTATCAACATGAGCTAAACAGAACAAGTGATCCTGCATGGGCCTATGCCTGCTCATTCATAAAGTCACAGAATAAAAATCAGGAGAATTATTCCAGGTTTTCTTGTCCAGTTTTTCTGATCTACTGATGAGGAAAGTAGGGATCTGAGAAAGAAAGTCACAGATACTATCTAAAAACGGACTCAAGGGCTGGGCATGTAGTTCAGCTCCAGTGGTAAAGCACTTACTTAGCAATGACAAGGTCCTGGTTTAATCCCTAGCACCATAAAATAAATAAATAACACAGACTCAGACAGTTTTACTAGTGTTTTTCTGTATTAATATGCCACTGATCCTGGAGGGACCAACAAGATAGGTGTTCTAAAACAAGCCAAAGACAAGGCCTTGCATGCTTAAAACCAAAATATAACGTATCTATATATTATAAAAATGAAAGCATATGCAATAAAATCTGAACAAACTCAAAATGAAAAATCTGAATTTTAAATGTCTGCTTTTCGAAATGATTTCAGAGAATATTTTGTTATTGTCAAACATTTGAGTATCAACATGGTAATGGAGAGTCACAAAAATAACTACCTTGCACTTCTTTACACACCTTTACTTGCTCTTTACTGTTTTAGGTTTGACGCAGCCAGAGGATAAATATAGACAAAAATTATCACCCTTATACAGCAAAGAGAAGACAGAGACTGCAAAAATGAACAGGGCTTTGGTATAAATCAGCTCAGTGAAAAATTGACAATTAAACCAAGCTCTGGTAATGACAGTTCTCAGAGAAAAAATCATTGGCTAGACAGTTGGCAGCGAAAGGGTAATGCCAAACCAGACTTCCACCAGATTCAAGCTCTCCAAACTACTGCAGTTATAGGTACAAAACAGTACATATTTTCTTGGAGCCGTGGGTAGTGGTTCAGGGCAGAATGCTCACCTAGCATGCTTAAGACCCTGGGTTGACTGCCCACCACCACAACAAACAAAAACAAAAATCTTTCATATTTTTCTATGAGGGTTAATTTTTACTTAATATAAATGAGTAGTTTACTGCCTTAAAAAATTTAACCAGAAATTCTATCATACTAAGTCTTCATGATTCAACTCAGAGAAAGTAAAACTTGAAGGAGGTAGAAAAATTTAGATTGAAGACTGGGCGGTGGAGTGGGGACTAAGTGTTAAACACTGAAAAAAATGCTTTGCGTGGCTCTCATGAACAAGACCACAATCAGTTGGTAAAGCTAGAGGGAAACAGAGTATAAGCTTTCAGAAAGTCAGAATTTCCTAACAACAATAGCCATCTGACTTCCAGGACAAGATAATGGATTGAGCACTTTTTTCTTCTTTTCAACAAACTCACAAGAGTGTGAAAGAGAAGTGGCAACAACAAAATTTCAGAATCTAGAAACAAATGGATGAACAGTAGATAATTCAACAGACTTTTTAAAAGGTCAATCCTAAAACTAGAGACACCTGAGAAGCAACCTGGTTTATTACCCAGAATCCCTCAAATCCCAAGGAATTGATGGCAACAGGACTTCTAGTAAATGGATCTGGGCATGGGTAAAAATATGAGGACTTGTCAAGTCAGATTTAGAAGCAATTAAATCTTTTTCTTGTTTTTTGAGACAAGGTCTCGCTCTGTAACTCTAGCTGGTGATAAACTCACTATTTAGTCCAGGCTAGCCTCAAACTCATAGCAATTCTCCTGCCTCAGCCTTTCAAGTGCTCGGATTACAGGTGTGAGCCACCATTCCCAGCCACAAGCAGTTAAATCTATAGCGATTATTCCATAACTAAGGCGCACGGCCCTGTCTAAAACCCAAAACCAGCAGAAAAGTCAGAGATCTACTGGTAAAATAAAACAAGTGTCTCTAGACTAAGGTACACTACACATACCCAAGGTCAAGGATGTCATACTGAAAACAGGGCTCAAGGAGGGGTTAAATACAACAAATACAGACATTCCTCTCGTTTTGCCCTATTTGGGGCTTAAAAACTAGCATCCTGGTCTTTATCTTGTATTGTAGGCAGGAAATCAGTAGTTTTCTCTGGGGGATGTGACCAGTCTAAGAACTAAAAGGAGGAAAAATTGAGACATCAGATTCTCTAAAGAAATATCTGGCCAGTCTGTGTCTAACTATATACCAAACTGTCAAACTTTTTCAAAGTAGCTGTTACCATTTTTCATTTCCATGAATAATCAAACTACTCCACAGCTTAGCCAATACATATACTGTCAGTCTTTTAAATTTTACCCTTTTTATGGGGTATGCTGGAGAATATCACTGTATTTTGCCTTTTCTAAAGAATAGTTGAGCATCTTTATGTGATTTGCCATGTATATACCTTCTGTGCAGTGTCTGCTCATATTCTTTTGGTCACTAAAATTAAATTGCCACTCTTAGGACTCTATGGATTCAAAGTATTCTGGATAAAATTCTTTTATCAGAAAAAACATTTTTGCATATACCTTCTCCCATTTGGGTGATGGGCCTTTTCATTTTCTTAACATTAAGTTCAATGTATCTTCTACTTTTCTTATGTCTGGCTCATGCTGAGTGTGATCTGAGAAATCTCTGCTAAGCCAGAATCATAAAGATTTTCTACTATAAGTATTATAACCTGAGCATTTATAATCAATTCCCCTCTCTCAGGTTCCAAAGTAGCTGGGATTACAGGTGAAAACTACTATATCTTGCTCCATTTAAGAGTCCTAAAACAATTTCCTATTTCTATCATTACATTCATGCCTTTCTTGACATTCTTAAACACACCTACACACCTACGCATATACAGAGCCCCCTCCTTTTTTTTTTTTTTTTTTTTTTTTGTAGTACTGGGGATATAACTCAGAGCCTTTTCCCTGAGTTTCACCCTCTTTGAAAATTTTGAGACAAGGTCTACCTAAACCACAAAGTTACCTTGGCTGTACTTAAATTTGTAACACTGCTGCCTCAGTCTCCCAGACTGCTGGGATTATAGGCATATACCATCATATGCATCTAGACTCCCCACACACATTTCCAGGGGCTTGTGCATACTAGACAAGTCTCAACCACTTAACTACATCTCCAGCCACCACCTCCCTGCTGAATTATTTTAAAGTATTTAATATGTAAAATGGCCCTTCTACAGTTTTTGCTAATTTCATCATTTTCCTATTTCTCTTCTGGCCTGCTTCTTCTAATGACTTTTTTCGGACCATTGCTCAAGTTTTATGCATGCCTAATTTTTTTTTAGTTAACAGGCACTGTAACTTTACCTATTCAGTAATGATTTCTGTTGCATTCCTTTAAAGACAGTTAGCCTTTGACATGTAATTGTTACTTACAGACGAGTCTAATCCTTTCAACTTTTTAACTGTGGTTGAGGTGCTCCATTTTAGGGCTGATTTAGCTCCAAAAGAAGGACATAACCTTTTTAAAGACACTACCCAATGCTTTGTGTATTACTCTGTCAAAAAGGAACATGATCTCTTCTTAGCCTCATGTTCTAAGAATCATGCAGTGTTCAGAGTTTTTTCTCAGGACATGTGTAACATATGTATTTGGCCAACGACTCAAGAGAACTTCTCCAAATACTCCTGCAGCTCTCCATCTGAGCAATTTCCTCTTTTCTGGTATCCTGTCCTATAATGTCTAGTTTTATTAGGTTCTCCAAACTGTGATTTTTGAATCTTCAGCAGATGTACTGGGTTCTATTTGGTTTTTCCCTTTCTGTATTGGAATTTGTTTCTAAGCAGTGAACTAAAAATTACTTCAATATTCTTCTTTCAAGGATTACAGCCCTATAGAGTTTCTTGTTCAATATCTGGAAATAGTTGTTAGAAGTAACCTGTCCCTTTTTAATTTTTATACAGTACAATTTTTTCCCCCAGTTTTACACAAACTAGGTCAAAACCAAAGTCATTCTTACCTTTGTAGATTTTTCTAACGGTTGGTCATACTGTGCTTGCTGCATAACGTCACTGACTATCATTTTAGCAATCTTCCAAGCTAGTTCCTCTTGGGCCTAAAGGAAGCAATTCAAATTGTTAGTAATAGTTATTCATCATACGAATCCAGATGCATATAATCAGAGCTCTACACAAAAAATGTACATACTTATTATCTGTACAACAGATACTTTCCATGTATTAAAGAATCTGAGCCACCCTCTGGTTATGATATATTAACAGAATCAACTACTAGGTCTACTAGTAGCAGCAATGACTAAGGAGTCAAAACAATATAATAATGTTCTTTTTCTACTTCCACACATCGCAGTAAAATTAATTATCTGAGAAGCAAGTCCCAACGTCTAAAAGTGAAAGAGTCGGGAAGGAAGCATTTGAGCTTTTATTTCTGCACTGACAGCTAAACGCCTGCTGACTGATGTAAAGGTCAACGTGCACGTATTGTTTAGCACCCTTAGCCTCTAAAGAAATATTAACTGTCATCATCAGGCAAACTGTAGATACTGAGAGGCCTCCTTTTTCTTGGTACAACCTGATAAAAAAGCACTGATGGATCTTGATGCTGAATATGGAAACTAAGGAAAAGAGAAAACCTAAAACCTTGGTAGCATTATAAGCAAAGCCGGCACTCATAAGAAATCATTTCCTTATACTAACAATAAAATTTACCTCATCAGTATTTCCTTGTACCCACTTCTTCATAGCCTGTGAGAACATGGATCCTAGTAAAAAGAACCAAAGTTGAACGCAGATTTCATACACAATTTTATATTTAAAAAATGCTCTTAAAAGCTGTTACTCTTAGATATGGGTATTCTTTTCCAGTGTTATCCTATCCAAAATAGGAACTGAATATCTACACTGGGATAGAATATTTGTTCTTAAATCAAACAAATACTGTCCATAGTCTTACCATTCCAATAATCTCTAATGAATCATTGTTAGCATTACTTTCGTTTTTTGGTAATGATGGTGGTGATGATGGTAGGAATAAAACCAAGGGCCACATGCATGTTAGACAAGGGTTCCACCAGTGAAACTCCTTTTTAAAAAAAAAAAAATTTAAAGAGAAAAAGAATTTTCAAAGCAAGAAGGTAATAATGGTTAATACATTGTGTGTTGTTATCTTTAGTTACTCAGAGTATAAGACATCAGCACTCAATTGTCTGAACAATAATAGCACAAACCTTTCTTTTCAATGAACTAAGAGAAATGAGTAGTATAACTTAACTGTCTTTTATATACATATATGTACTTTTTGCTTTTCCTTTCCTTCTTTTTTCTATTCCCCTACCTCAGTTTCTCTTTCCTTTTGAAGCTGCTTCCCATTTTACAATATGTATTGTACACTTCAGATCCTATTTACACTTTCAGCTTCTTACAGTAGGGAGACAATACGATGTTCATACATGCACATCTGATTTATTTCACTTATGAGTACCGTCTCAAGTTGCATGCATTTACCTATAAAAGCTTCAAGTTTACCCTTCTTTATGGTTGCTTAGTACTCCATTGTACAAAAATAAATCTTTTTTTCCCCAATCTTTGGTTGATTGGGCATTTGGGTTGTTTCCAAGATCTAGCTTTTGCAAATTGTGCTGCTATAAATATAAATATAGGCACATATATATTGCTGTGGTATGATGTTTTTAATTCTGGGAAGATACCCAGGAGAATAGCTGGTGTTGGTTTCTATGAGGTATACATATATTGCTATGGTATGATGTTTTCTAAAGAAATTCTTAAATATTCATTAAAAATTAATTAAATTTATTAATTAAAAATTAATTTGATCAATGAATGTTTACTGAATGCCTATTATGTGCTGGGAACACATAATTTTAGAATTGGGGAACAAAATATTGAGTATGACATAAAATTCTTGCTCTCACAGATGTAATATTGTAATTATAAAAGCATAACAGAAGCGAGGCATGGTGGCACAATGGCGAGGCAGGATTACAGAGTTCAAGCTCAGCCTGGGCTAAATATTACAAGACCTTGTCTCAAAAAACAAATGAACAAACAAAAATAATAAATAAAAAAGTAACAATAAATAGGTATGCAAATAAATGAGTAATATAATTTCAGATAGTAAATAAGACAAAGATGTGGTATGTTGGTGGTACGTACGATTTTAAAACATGAGGACTGGAAAGGCCTCTCTGACAAGGTAATATTGAAATGCAGAGAAGGCACCATACATTGCATGAAAGCCATGGCAGAGCAAAAGCAAGTGTAGGTGTCCTAATAGGGAAAAAAACCTCAGAAAATGAATAAAGGACAGTCCAATTAGAATTTAATCTGTGACAGGAAGAGTGACTCAAGTTAAGGTGACAGAGGGCATTTATAGGTTACAGCAAAGAGGCTAGATTTTTATTTCAAGTACAACAGGAAGCCATAGGAGATGGGATGAAGCAGATGATGGAGCAGTAAAGAATGCAGAAGGTAAGAAAACTTAACAAGTAGAGAAAAAGAGTATAATGAAAAGCAAAAGATGCCTACTACCTCTTCAGATTCCTAACTTAATCGCTGTTCAAGTTTTTTGTATATCTTTTCAGGTGATTTTTAATGCATATGCCAGTAGTGAGTCTTTCAAAAACAAATGCAACAGCATGTATGTGTAATTTAAATCATAAAGACTTTAGGTAAAGCTTCCAATTTGTAAGAATTTCTGGGGAGAGAGCAATAAGCTAAATAATGCAATCAGAAAAATTTGTAAGATTAAACAATTCTGTAGGGTAAACAGTCTTATATGTTTAACAAATCAAGGTCAGAGTAAAACAGATGGAAACTACACCCTTTTATTTATATATTTGGCCCCTAGTATAGTTCCTGATACAAAGAAATCATTTACATGCCTTCTGAGCAAAAAAATGTAATCTCCATGCTCCTGTACTACCAAAAGATACTTGACTTAGACATCTGCAAAACTAAAGGAAGCTCCAGAATAATGGGATGTGTTCGACCAAACTGCAGAAATTCCTATTCATCATTTTATGTAGCCGTGTCTCAAGCAAGCTAGATGGGCTTGGCAGCATAGATATAATCCTGCTGCATCTACCTTTAAATATAATCTATACCTGTTTTTCAACTACTAGTTTAATCTACAATTGGCATTATTCCTTAGACTCTGGTAAGAATGTTGTGTTTCTTTGGTCTCTTAAAGCCTTACACTCTATTTCCGAACAGCTGCCAGATAGGTCTCTTTATAGTACAAGTCACATCACATCGTTCCCTGCTGTACTCTCCAATATGTTCCCAGTATTCTCCAGTCCTTGTCACGTCTTTCACTCAACCTTTTGCCCACTCCATTCTAGTCACATTGCGTTTGTCCACTGACCATGCTTTACTCTCTAGTTCCGGGCTCTACCGTTGCTACTTTAGCAAAGAATCCTATTCTTTTAAATACTGACTGAGATTTCTCCTGGATGTAAGTACCATTCCCCAGTGCTCTGCCAATTCCTTATTCCACCTTTTATATTCATACACAAATATATAAACACACACATCAGCTGTGTTTGATCACAAAGGTGCCCTGTCGAGAAGTATTAGAATGAGCTGGGGATGTAGCTCAGTCAGTGGTAGAGCTCTTACCTAGCATTTGCAAGGCCCAGGTTTGATCTCTAGCACTGCGAAGCAGGAATGGGGCGGGATGGGACAATACACTCACACACAGATGATGAGGACAGCATACCAAACCCATGGTAAGGAGATGCAGGTGCAACTTAGACTTGACCAAGCTGCTCTTGTGCTAATTAAACAAGGATTTAAATTTCAATCTATTAATATTTTTCATATATTTCCGTATTTCAGTGATTGTGGGAAAATTTAACAAAAGATCACAAGATAAATCTGAAGGCTAACCTGGATTGGGTATTAGCCACTAAACAAAATTATCCTACCGTACTTTCTGATATGGTAAAGCCAGCTCAGCAGAGATTTTTTTATTCAGAGATTTATTTTATAGAGTTATGATTACACAAAGTTCCTGTAACTCACTTGTAACTATAAATCAAGGTGAAAGATATCATAGTTAATAACCAGTGCAAATCTTAAATGTTCTTTCCCATCAGTCAGTGACTAAAATGAGCCAAGGCATAATATGAACTATTAAAACATTGGTTCTCGGCCTTTTAGCTAAGTGAACTATAAAAACTTAACAAACCTTTTGATTTCTTTACATCAGGTTCAGGTTCAGATTCTCGGATAAATTGTCCTAAGTCACTGACCCTTCCAAATGTCATCTTCCTAAACAAAGATAAAGATAGATATTAATTCTCACGATCAAAATCAATTTTTAAAGCTGGGCATGGTGGCTCATGCCTGTAATCTCAGCACTCAGGAGGCTGAGGCAGGAAGATTGTTCCAAGTTTGAGACCAGCCTGGGCTACAAAACGAGTTCAAGGAATAATTTCACGCCTTTCCCAAGTATTATGTATTATACAAAAGTATGTAGCTCACAATAAATATTGGCATCTTTATAATTATTTTAAAATCAAGACTTTGAAATAGTTAACATGTATGTCAAACAAAACATGCAAAAGATAGCCTGGGACACACTACATAGACATGACACTCATCGGCCTGGCATGTGACAGTAGAATAACGACGGTTCGTGGAGGGCTTACTAGAAATCAGGCAACACTGTAAGTGCTTTCCATGTATTATCTTATTTGGCCCCTCAACAACCCATGCATTATTTTGATTTCACAGATGAAAAAACAAGACAGTAGGTGGTTAAACAGCTTGCCAGTAAGTAGCACAGCCAAACTCAAGGAGGCACTTTAGAGCCTTCACTTTAATACCATGCAACATGCACACTGCACGTGGAAGTGCTGGGCTTGTAAAGAAGTGAGAAACATTTGAAATTCATTGAAAACTTTAAAAGCTTCAAAATTCTTTACACTTGTAAAAATTCTAAGAAAGAGCTTAGCTTACCCTGCATATGTACGCTGATATAAAGATTCTGGGTCCAGACTTGCAGTATCCACAATTATTGCTTCATCAAAGTTTTTCAAAATTTTAATACTGGCTTTTTTCACACTGGACTAAAACAGAAATTTTAAAATAGTACATTATTCAGAAAACAAATCAGTCCTAGGCCTGGAATATGATAGACCTATACTTATTTTCTTCAGCGTTTGAGAATGTAATTTTCAACCAAGACCGTCACTACTGAGAAGGTTAACAGCAATGAAATATTTTTCTCCTTTCTGGTTTTTTTTTAAGTTTTCTTTTCTTTTCTTTTCTTTTCTTTCTTTCTTTCTTTCTTTCTTTCTTTCTTTCTTTCTTTTTTTTTTTTTTTTGAGACACGGTCAGTCTGTCTGGCCTGGAATTCACTATGCAGTCCAAGCTGGCCTCGAGCTTGCAGAGATCCTCCTGCCTCAGCCTGCAGAGTACGGGGATTACAGGCACGCACCATTACTCCTGGCATGACATACACCTTCAAACTACAACAAGGGAAAAGCACATGTATAAAATATGTAACTATGCATTTAAATGCCAAATCTGTTTTCCCCAAAACCATTTTATTTCAAAAAGGAAAAAAATTCGAAACATGTCAATCAGGGGGCAACAATGGTACATACAATGTGTATTGAATATGTGCTGTCCTCACAAGGCATTATTTCCTGGGCCAAACTCATCTATCCCAGCATACATATCCTGGCTAACAAAAATAAAGCCCGCAAGCTGGAGATTTAGCTCTGTGACATAAGCACCTGCCTGGTAAGCACAAGGTCAATCCCCAATACAAAAAAAAAAAAAAAAAAAAAAAAAACACCCACAAAAAAATAAAGCCTGAGCCAGGAATCCAGCTCAATGGCACAAGCACTTACTTGGCAAGCACAAGGTCCTAACCTTGATTCTCAGTATTTAAAAAAAAAAAAAAGCCTAAATTTTATAGGTTAAATATGAATGTTTTGGATTCTCAAGTGAGGCTGTGTGACAACAGAGACACTAAATAATCCTTTGTGAAGTGACTTGCTAGCTAAGTGTAAGTCACTAAGTTCCCCTCTACTGTCCTACTCCCTACTCCCCACTCCCCAACCTATAGAACAATCATAGCAGAATCGATATTCTGATGAAATACAGAGCTAGGACTTGATCCAGGAATCCTATTTCTAGAATTATACAGATTTGAATTTATTAGAAACATGACATATATACAGTATTATTCATTACAGTATTGTTTAAAATAGCAAAAGGGAAAAGCCTAATGTCCGTAACTGAAGGCTAAATAAACAAAATAACTAAACATTTATAAAACTCGTTAAACTCAAAAGAAAGCACCAATGAAATAAATAGGGAGTACATCCCAATTAACTGTTACTGAGGCACCAAAACCAGACAACAAAACAAAGTTACTTTCTCTTATGCAGTGTCAGTATTATATGATGGGTACAAATACAAAATCCCCAACAAAACTGTATGACAGCATGACAAAAAGTTCACAAAACATGGCCACATAGAATCTGTCCTAAGACTGCAAGGTTAGTTTAACATCTGAAAACTAATTAATGTAATACAACATAACAACAGAGTAAAATCCAAAAATCTTACACTATCATCTCAACTGGTAGAGAAAGAACATTTGATAAAATCCAATATCCTTTTGTGATTAAAAATTAATAAAAATTAATAAAAATTAAGTTTGGTGGGGTACTTCCTCAATTAGATAAACAGCATTTATAAAAATTTAAAAATTAAAAAGAAACTTAGTAAGTTAAATGGTGACAAACTGAGAGCTTTCCTTATCAATCAAAATAAGATAAAGATGTCTATCTTTTGCAAATTTTACTCTGTGTTACACAGTACTGGAGGGTCTACTGAGAGCAATTAGGCAAGGAAAGGAAATAAAGCCTCCAAAGTGGACAGGGGAGAAAAAGCTATTTGCAGATACCATTACCTTATATAGAAAACTATAAAGAATCTCTAAGAAAACTATTGGAGCTAACAAATGTAGCAAAGTTGAAAATACAAAATCAATGCACAAAAATCATTATATTTCCATATACAATGAATAATCCAAAAATGAAATTTTTTAAAAAGTCCATTTATAATCACATCAAAAAGGAAAACTTAGCTGTGCATAGTGACAAATACCTGCAAATTCCAGTATTAAGGGAGGCTGAAGCAGAAGGATCAAAAGTTCAAGTCCTACATGGGCAAATTAGTAACATGTGGTCTCAAAATTTAAAAGCAGCTTGTAGGAATGTAACTCAGTGGTACAGTGCTGCTGGGTGTAAGCATTGAAATAAGATAGACAGATAGATAGATAGATAGATAGATAGATAGATAGATAGATAGATACATAATAGATAAGATAAACAGATGGACAAATAGAATGCACTTAGAACACTTGTCTTAACATGTATGACTCCCTGGTTCAATCCTCAGTACTAGAAAAAAAAAAAAAAACAAACCTTAGGAATAAATGATCCAAGGTGGTATGAGACTTATATACTAAAAACTATGCTGAAAGAAATTTTAAAAACATGCCTGGTGTGGTGACCATGCCTATAATCCCAACATTCGGGAGGGTGAGGTAGGAGGATTGCTCAAGTTTGAGACCTGCCTAGGATACATAGTGAGTTCAAGCCAGTCTGAACTGCATACTGAAACCCTGTCTCCCAAAAAAGAAAAAAAAAAAAAGGAAGAAAGAAAGAAAGAAAGAAAGAAAAGAGCACATAAATGTTATATACTAACAAAAAAGAGCTTCGTTATGTTTGTGTTATGCTCAAGTTATATGACCGAAGTTCCTGTAGCGCCGTCATATTGTTCAGTATGCGCCATTTTCCTGGGTGACCTAATTGATATGTTAACCATTGCTGCCCTCTGCAAATGACAGATGTTATCTAAAATTGAGTGCTAAAATAAGTTGACAAAGCATTCTAATTCCTGGGAGACTTCTCTGTCCTCTGCAAAGAGAAACAAGAGAAACAAAGGTCTTCCTCATTCCTTAGTAGATCAAGGATTTTCTCATTTCCTTATCCACGCCCATAACCTCTTTGGAAATCATGCTTTCTACAAAAAAGTCTGGAAAGTTTGGAGGGGGACACACAGCTTTTGCAAACTCCAACTGCACTGCATCGCTGAGCCCAGGATAAAATAAATCAGTGCTGCTTTTTTTTTTTTTTAAAAACATGTCTTGCCTCATTTTTGGATACCAACTTTGGGGGGTCTGGGGGGCTCGTTTTTGGGCTACAAGTGAAAACATATCCTATGTTCATGGACTAAAAATTTTAATACTACTTAAAAATAGCAATAGCTCAAAGCAATCCATATAGTCCACGAAATCCTGATCAAAATTACACTTTGTAATTTCAAAAGTTAATATAAAGCTACTGCACTGAAAACAAGGTGGTAAAGGGATAGATATAGACCCACAAAATGGAACAGAACTTAGTGTTCAGAAATACACATATACCAACATACATGCTCAGCTGATATTTAACAGGGTTGTCAAGACCATTCAATGGTCTAAGAGCAGTTCTTTTGGTTTCTTAGTGATGGCACTATGGACTGAATTCAGGGTCGCTGCACTATACACCCAAGCTGTTTTATTTTTTTTAAAGATTGCTAACTTGCCCAGGCTAGCCTGAACTTATCTCCTGCTTCAGTCTCCTGGAGTGCTGGGACTGATGACAGGTATACGCCACCATGCTTAACAGTCAGAATAGATTTTTAAATAAATACTGCTAGAATAGAATATTGATTTGAAAAAGAATGAAATTGGATCTCTACCTTATACCACATGCAAACTAACTCAACCTTATACCATATGTAACTTAAAATGGATCAACTACCTTAGAGGAAAAGACAGTAATTTATTGATCTTTAGTACATTAGATTTTGCGATGGTTCTTAGACATAATACCCAAAGCACATGAAACAAAAATAAAACATTGTACACAAACTGGACTTCTTCAATTTAAAATTTTGAGCTTCAAGAGACATAAGAAAGTAAAAACCTACAGAACTAGAAAACTTACTTTTAAATCATATCTGATAGGTTTATATCTAGAATATATAAAAATCCCTGCAACTTGTAATACAAAGATAACCCAATTTAAAATTAGGACAAAGATTCATATAAACTTTCTCCAAAGACAAAAAGAAAAAAATTCAGTAAACACATAGAGATGCTCAACATTCTTAGTCATCAGGGAAATGCAAATAAAAACCACAATGAGCTACAACTTTATACTCACTGAAATGACCAGGAACAAAAAGATAACACAAGAAATTTCAGTGAGATGTGGAGAAACTGGAAATCTTGTATACTGCGGGTGTGACTGCAAAATGGTACTGCCATTTGGGAAAATAATCTAGCAGGTCCTGAAAAAAGACCACATAGAATGTTTCCATTTATATGAAGTGTCCAAAATAGGCAGCTCTGGATCTCTATAGAGACTAAAAGTAGAATAATGATTGCCTAGGACTGGAGAAACAGAGAATTTGGAGTTTAACAGTTTCTTCTGAGGAAGAAAAAAGGTTCTAAAATTGATTGTGGAGGCATACACAACTCTGGAGTATGGTAAAAACCACTGAATTACACAGTGCAAGTGTGAATTATCATGATACAGTTATACCAATAAAAAAGAATAGGGCCGGGGGTTAGCTCAGCAACACAAGCATCTGAGTTTGATCCCCAGTACCAAAAGAAAAAGAATACAGAGTATGATTTCATTTATAAAATAGCAAGAACAGTTAATGCTAATCTATGTTCCTAAGTCAGGATATGACTAGAAGGAGGCTCAAAAGGGCTTCTGGTTGAGAACGTTTTATTTCTTGATTTAGACGCACTCATTTTTTTCCCCCGATTTTAGATGGATGTTTATGAAATTTTTTCAAGATATATTGTCATATTATATGTGATTTTTTAAATGTATGCTATGTTTCAACAAAATAAATTTTATGGGGCTTGAGTATACAGCTCAGGACTATACCATGTGCTTATTTAGCACATGCAAGGACCTGGGTTCAATTCCCAGTGCCAAAAATAAACTCATACACACATACATTTATTTTATGGTTAGCACCTAGACCTTTTAAATGTCTAAATAAAAATAAGACATTCTAACTTATCTCAAAATAAAGTAATAACCATATTCAGCAGGTCATGAGTAAACTGGATATGGGAAAAATATACTCAGGAGAGCCTTATTCACAATAAAATAGTACTGTTTTAAAAGGAATGTTGGGAAGCTGAAGCCAAAGGATCTTAAGTTTGAGTCCAGTCTGGACAACTTAGCAATTTATCAAGAACCTGTCTCAAATAATTTTAAAAGGTTCGGGATGCAGCTCAGTGCTAAAGCCCTGGATTTAATCCTCAATACAAGATGAAGGAAGGAGAGAAGTAGAGAAATGGAAGGAGGGAGGCAGGCAGAAAAGGGAAGAGAAAGGAGTAAAGTAGGGAAGAAGAGAGGAAGGAAACAAGGAAGGAAGGAAAGAAGAAAAGGAAGAATAAATTAATTCAAAGACCAGTATCAAAACTTCAAAGTGCTGTCAATACTGATGAGAAAATTAATAAGCCGTATTATTAAGCTTATAATGAAGAACACCAGACAGACTATTTCTGGCCCTACCACTTTCTATATATCTATAATAACTTTCCTTTTTCTTTTTTTTTTTTTTGTGGTTGAAACCAGAGGATTGAAACCAGAACCTCACATGTGGATGAACACTACTCTATACTTCTAAGGCCCAGAATCAGTTAACTCCTTAATGCCTCCTTCACAATTCCGTCTTGAGAATATATTACTTCATGTGATTTGGGGGCAACAAGGTAAGGTTTGATATATGATAGCAGTTTTTTAAAAAGTGATATACAATGTAGCCTTCTAGCTTAAAATAAACCCAACGGGTCATGAGTAAAATACAATATTAAGAAACCTAAGACCCAAACATATTGGACAACACATCTCAAATTTCAGCTACCTGACAGGCTAAGGCAGGAGGATCTTGAGTTTGAAATCAGCCTGGGCAACTTAGTAAGAGCTCATCTTTAAAAAAGAAAAGGGTCAGGGATACAGCTCAGCGGCATAAGTGCCTGCCTGGCAAGTGCAAGGTCATAAGTTTGATTCCTGGTATCCACCCCCTAAAAAAGAAAAAACGTTTTTAAAAGCAAAAAAAGAAACCTCAGATAACTCAACTGTTCTATTTAAAAAAGCATCCCAAATGCAGTCATTAAAATTTCTCACACTGAGTATGATGGCACATATTTGTAATCCTAGCACTCAGGGTACTAAGACGGGAGAATCATTGTGAGTTCAAGGCCAGCCTGACCTACACAGTAAGACCCCATCTCAAAACACCAAAATCAAAGAAAAAAAAATTCTCAAAAAATTATAGAGTTCTTCAAAGTTATAAATGTATTTCATAATATTTGGCCATTAAGGATAGCCACAGTGCCAAGAGTAATGGTCTGAATAAAACAGTATGATTTTTTTTTTTTTTTTGGTACCAGGGATCGAACTTATGATATGGCACTTGCCAAGCAAGAGCTTGTGCCACTGAGCTAAACTCCCAGCCCAACAGCATATTTTACAATACAGTAAAATGGCTATCCGCCAAGAATCCTTTTATTAGAATACACAGTAAGCAGCATAATTTTATTTCTCTTTTATGTCTATAATTTAAAATTCATAAATCAGATCTATTACTGGAATTTGAAGAAAAGGATTTGTATCCCTTTCTTCATAATGTAAGTCGTAAGCCAACCAGTACCTGAGAAGTGGCACTATCGGAACCACACAGGTGAGACTCATCAGGAAGGCCAACAGAGCCATGAGCTGTCAGTGAAACACTCCCTCCCAGAAATTCATCTCCTCGAACAGAATGGATGAGATCATTCAGATACTTATAATAAAGATTACTGGACAAAAAGCCAGGCAAAAAGACCTGAAAGAGAAAAGGCATTATTTGAAAGTTAATAATCAATACATCTAAATGTTTTTTAAGTAAACAAATTTTACCAGTTAACATAAATGTTTGTATTTCTCGTTACATTCTGGGTTTGTATACATTTCACATTGTAACTGAAATTACAATAAATACAATGTTGTTGAGTTTTCCCACAATACATTGGTCATGGAAATTATACAGACTTGATATTAATATTCCTTGTGAGTAAAAAATAGTCCAGAGTAAATAAATATAAGTTGAAACTAGATTTTTCTGGTTTGTGACAGATAATAGTGTCTTTGGGCACATATTGATTTCTGCTTATCAATAGATTTCCTTAAAATAAATTATCAGGAGTGTGACTGGTGCGTTAACTAATATACACAGCCAGTTTATCCTTCAAAGGATGTTGTCAATTTGTTTCCCTAGCAATACTGTACATATCAAAGTGTTTGTTTCCAGACAAGCATTCCAAAACTGGGCTTTTTCTCAAATCACTGTTAAAACAGATGCCAGAAGATATCAAATGATTTTATTTGCAGTTAGTTAATTTTTAATGATGCTGAACAAGTTCTCATGTTTATTATTTTATTCTTTCTTTCCCCCTGCCCCAGTACTGGGCATTGAACCCAGGGCTTTCAGTGTTATGTCCCAGCACTTTTTAAAATTTTTATTTTGAGACAGGGTCTTTTAAGTTGCCTAAGGACTCAAACTTGTGATCCTTATTGCCTGTGATTATATGGCATGCAACACCATGGCCAAACTTATTATTTTGCATTTGTTATTACAGAGCTTTCCTTCATGGCACTTAGCACACTATAAATATTTATGTCTGTATTTAACACATACCTTCTTTATAGAGTAAGTTCCAGGATGGAACAAACCACACCTTCTGTTTCTCACTATAATAGGAATAATTAGCACAGAAATATTCAAAGTATTTGTTACATGAATCCTTCATGTCTTCGTGTCCATTTCTTTATCTTACAGGGTCCTGTTAATGTTCTTAAAAATTAGCACAAGTTTCTTACCTATAAACACTTAGTAAGAACTGTTTCTATATTTTAATTTTCTTTCAATGTCTATTTTATTTTATTTATTTATTTTGGGTACCAGGGATCAAACTAACGACCATGTGGCACTTACAACAAGGCAGGCACTTATGTTGCTGAGCTAAATCCCCGGCCCAATGTTAATTTTATTGTCTAGAAAGTTTAAATTCTTATACGCTACAGATCTAAATTTTCCCTTTAAAATAGAAAAGGTTTTCTTACTTATTTATTTTGAGACAGTGCCTCACTTATGTCACTAACTTGCTATCCTCCTGCCTCCCTGGATGCCCGGAATACAGGCCTATGTGACCATACCTAGCAGAAAAATTTTAGTCATATAAAGGATTATTTTCCCTAGGTAATAACTAATATTATGTTATCTCAAGTTTTTTAATGATTGAGTTTATATAAATACTTCTTAAAATTCAATATTGGTATATAGTATTAAATAAAAATTCTTAACATTTTTGTATCCAGATACACATTACAGGTATTAGCAACCTAACCTAATGGGCTTATCCTGGACTTTGTAACTCCTGGCAAAACATGCTCTAGATCACCAAAAGAATAAATCATTCACTAATTTTAACTTTATCAATTAGATATTAGTGAATAGCTTCATTAATAAGTAACTAATGATACCTTTTAAGTGATCATGATACATAAAACTACGGTTTCAACTTTGTAAATCTTAAGCTAACTGTGCCCCATAATACCATTTAACTATGTGAAAAGAAGATGTAATAATAGTAACAACAGTAGTTAACATTTTTCAATACTTACCCTGTGTTAGGCCTTATGTATTTTATATATATTACTTCATTTTAATATTCACAATAACTTTGATATCACTTGTACTTTGTAAATAAGGAAAATGGCATTAAAGAATTTTAGTAACTGCCTGGAGTCACTCAACCTATAGAGGTGACATTAATACATACCAACCCAGACTTAAAGTCTTGCTCTTAATCACTATGCTGCACTGTTGGGTTATGTTTTAGTTATACAATTTGGCTTCACTAGTAAAACGTTTTGTGGTTTAAAACTTTAAAGATCTTGGTTACCTTCTCCATGGTTGTCCAGGCCTGACGTAATGGAGTTGTAAAACAGTTTGGGAGTGGACCACCTTCCCTGCAGATATTAGATTCAATTTCTAATCGTACAACATCATCAAACCCAAGAGGATGTGTGGCTTGGAGAGAGAAGTATCTACAGAAGAAAAAGGTTCAAAGTAAACTCAAATTTCATAGCACATATAAGTAATTTTTGGCACCAACCTAAGAGAATTATTATATAGAGCTATGTAGTTGTCCAGCTGCGTCCTGGAACCACAGCCCTGTTGCAACCTTTACTTACTCCCAATTCCCCAAAGATATCTGGGTCAATTTACTATCTTTCTTTTTGCCTTTCAATCACCCTTAGTTTGTCCTGTGTCAGCTCTGTTGATGATTAAGAGTTGAGATTCAGGCTACAACCAAGGCAAAGAAACCAATCAATCACACACATTTAATGGGCACCTATTCTATGTTCAGGACTTAGTAGATAGAAATGAATTTGTAAAAGACTAACACATGGGCATGTTCTCTGAATAAAGGAGAAAGCATCTATTAACAGGATACAATGGGCTAGGGATTTAGCTCAGCGGCATAAGCGCCTGCTTGCAAGCAGGCAGTCGTGAGTTCGATCCCTGGTACCGATAAAAAGGAAAAAGACAAAACAAAAACAGGATACAATAAGAACATATCATCATAACCATGAAGTTATGAAGCAAAAAACCTGCAAGGATTCAAAAGAAAATGATTCCATGGTAAGAGGACAGATCTATTTGCAGAGAACTACTAGGATTCATGATCTGGTGTGGGTATGTCTTTTTTTTTCTTTAAAGAACCCGGATCGAACTCACGACCTTGCACTTGGCAAGGCAAGCGCTTGTGTTGCTGAGCTAAATCCCTGGCCCAATGATCTGGTATGGAAAGGAAAAGGAATAATTAATGCTAGCTCAAAGATTTCTTAACTTGTTAAGATCTAAAACAGCTAGTGTTTTGCTAAACTGATTATGAAGTGGATATTAAAAAAAAAAAAAAAACACATAAAAGTAGGGGGAAAAATTCCCTTCCAAGCACTAGCAGCTTCTATCTCCCAGGCATGACAGAAATATAGACGGGCTAATGATGTCTGATTGTGATGATGCATATATAACAACAAACAAGTAGGGAGTTATAAAGATAAAACTGACACAATGAATTTGGCAAGCTGACAGTGCTAATGGGATGTCACAGTCATCTTCGTTTAAAAGCATTCCCCAAGGTGAAAACAGGATCCAGTGAGAAATGGACTCTGCTCCAAATAGTGAGGTACAGCCAGGAACTTACTAGTATTAGTGCCACTATTCTAGCATACAAAATAACCTTTCTAGTTAGCATTTTCATAACAAAAAGCGAGTCTCCTATGTTGTAGTAAGTTCATAAATATTCCTTTATAATATGAATTTTCAGGGACCCTATTATTTCTAACTATGAACTCTTGCTATTTCAATAGCCAATTAACAAGATTTCTTATATAAAATCTTCCATAAATGTATTATGCTAAACTCTGGAGAGAATATTAAGAATTGTATCCCAATCCAAGCTCTGTCACTTACTTACATAAGTAATAGTACTAATAATAACTTTACAAAGAAAGTTCTATGACACTGAGAAAATCATTATCTTCTAATGCCTTGGTTTTCTTATTCGCAAAATAGGAAAATCAAGAGTGAATCCCTAAACTGCTTATTCATTAGAATTACCTAGAATACTGTCTAAAAATAAAAATTCCTTCCTGAGTCACATCTCAAACCTGTTGAATCAGATCTTAGAGAAAGGACTGGAAACCTACTGTTAATAAGCTTCTGGATGACTGCACAGACAGCTCAGTATAAGCCTGCAGATTGATGTTCAGGAACCACTGGGCTAGATGTTCTTGGTTTTTCTTTCTCTGTATCCTTAAATTACCCACTTAGTGCTTGCTTGCAGATAGTAATAATAAATTACTTTACAAAGAAAATTTAAACAAAAGGAACACTACCACCACAGGTTATGAAGTAGGAACATTATCTTTATTACTTGTCAAAGCAGATGTTTCCATTTTTGTTTACTTGCAAGATTATCCCAATCTCTCATTTTCAGTGAAAACTAAGGAGAAACTATGGAGATAGCTCAAGCAGTAGAAAACATGCTTAGTGTTAGTGAGACCTTGATTCAAGTCCCAACACCAAAAAAGAAAAAGAAAATTATTCACTGAGAAATGTGACTGAGCAGATGTGCTCAGCTGAGCAGCAGTGTGTGTGTGATATATCCAAGTATAGACACTCTGCAATCTATTCCTATCCAATCAGTCAGGCTCCTGTTATATGCCTTATTCTTTAAATTATCCAAATTCAGGTTTTATTTTGCTTTCTTTGCCTTGCTTGAAACCCAAAATCTTGGGCATACTAAACAAAGGCTCTCTAGCTGTTATACTCTGTCTTCACATTCTGGTTTTTTTTTTTTTTTTTTGCTTTTTGAGACGGGGTCTCACTATGCCTTCAGGCTGGCCTTGAGCTCACTTTGCAGCTAAAGCTGGTCTCAAACTTGCAATGATCCTCCTGCCTCAACTTCCAGAGTTCTGGGATTACAAGCATGTGCCACCATACCCTCACCCTCACCCTCGCCTCTCTTTTCCTCTCTTCTCTTTTCTTTGAAACAGGGTCTTGCTGTGTAGTTCAGGCTTGTCTTGAGTTCATTATGTAGCCCAGACTGACCTCAAACTCGCAGTGATCTTCCTGCCTCAGCCACCTAAGTGCTGGGAATACACACATGTACTACCATGCCTGGTCTTAGTCAAATTTCTTAAAAGTATCATTCTCCTCAAAGTTTCTATGACTCTGATTGTGCTAATGCATTTTGTCTGAAATTTTTTTTTTCTGCCTTCTGTGGCTGGAAAATTCAATTCACTCTTCAGGATCCAAATCAAATCCTTCTTCTGTGAAACACTCCCTGAACACTATACCCAGCTTTCCAGACATATACCTCCCTCACTCAAAAAAAGAATCCTCATTCTAAAACTCCCTCCCAAAGTTTTACATACACAAGAAAAGCAGCTTTTGGACTTCCAGGAGAACATGGTGGACAGATAGCAGCAGCTACGGAGGCTCTCTGAAAGACCCAGCTTAGAATCCAGGAATGGTGCAGAGTGAGGAATCCTAAGCAAGAGGAGATATGCCCTGCTGACCCAAGAACGAACTGGGCTGAGAGAAACCAACTGGGAATGCAATCCTGGTGCTATAACAGGAACAGAAAAGCCTCAGCGTGGAAGCTGGAGCTCACACCATTGGAAGCCGCAATTTGGGTTTCCCGCTGCGGTGGCTGGATCTGAATCGGCTCCGCAGGGAGAGAGACGCGTAAATGCTCTGAGAACGGGAATCGGTGAACGGAGTTGAGAGCCGCACAGACGGGGAGCCGTGCATCGACCTGCGGTGAGTGAGAGAAACTGGGATCTTTCAAAGTCTAGGAGGCTCCACAGAGGACATTCTGGGACTGGGCAGACTTGCCGGAACAGGGCGCTGTAGTGATTTCAGTCACATATCCCCCTCTCAAGCGGGATTGGTCAGTAGTGCCTACCTTACATGACGCTGCTGGCTGAGACCCAGTAGGCTAGCACAACCCAGGTCCCAGCGCCTGAAGGTGACCTGAAGGGGCAGGCCCCGCATAGGCTGCCCAGTCCATAACTCCCTACCCAGTCCGTAACTGCCCGGTGCGCTGCGGTGGGTGGGAACACCTAGCTGGAGCAATTCAAACAGACTTTGGCCAACAGGGAAGGAAGCTGGGCCTCCTATATTCACTTGCGTATATAAGGAACAAAGAATATGGGAAGAGGGAGCAACAAGAAAGGCCCCTCGGCCCCCAACCCTGAGAAACAGGCAATAGCAGACACAGCACCAATAGACATAAAGCGCTATCTCCAGAGCCTCATAGACGAGTTCAGGAATGAAGTTATTAATGACCTGAAGCTAGACATAAGCAGAATAGTTAGAGAAATGCTAAGCCCCACCCAAGAAAAAACAGATGGTGGAATGGAAGAACAGAAAAAGAGGGGAGAATTGTTTGATGGAGAAAATAGAGAAAGCATAGAATATGTTAAGCAGGTTCAAAGAGATTACCAAGAAACTAAAAACTCTTATCGAAAACTGGCATAAGAGCTTGAAAGAAACTAAGGATAGATTATCTGAACTGGAGGCCAGATTTGTAATATGGGAGCATGAAATGAAAAACTTCTTAAAAATAACAAACAAACAGCAATAATACAAAGACTAGAAGATGATAAGAGGATCTATAACTTAAGAATTAAGAACATAAAAGAAGAGGTAGGGACACAAACAAATGAACTACAAAAGCTACTCGCAGAAATAATCCAAGAGAATTTTACTAATTTAGCAAAAGGTAAAGATACTCAGATGTATGAAGCATTCAGGACCCCAGCCACCTACAACCCAAACAGGGCTACACCCAGGCATATAATAATCAAAATACCAGAAATCCAATGTCAGAACAGAATACTAAAAGCCATCAGAGACAAGAAACAGATCACTTACAAGGGAACACCCATCAGAATTACAGCAGACTTCTCCACATAAACCATCAAATCAAGAAGAGCGTGGGGGGAAATAATTCAAGCTTTGAAAGATAATAACCTCCAACCAAGATTGATATATCATGCACAACTATCCCTGGAAATTGATGGAAAAACAAGGTGCTTCCAGGATAAAGAGGAACTAGGGGAATATGCAACCACCAATTCAACTCTACAGAGAATACTGCAGGATATTCTAAAAAAGAAAAATACGAAGAATCCAGAAATAGTGGCAGAGAGGCCACAATGAATGGAGCAGAAAACAAAATAAAGAAGACAAACTGACAACTAATGACAGAAAAAGTGCTCAACAGAAATGAGGCAGAGAAGATTGGATGATAGGAACAGCTATTTTGGAGAAAACGATGTCATAATAGGTAATGCTGATTTAGTATCATCTTGTTTTGAAGTCTCATCAAGTTTTTGTTCTTCTGTCTCCATTGGTCTTTACATGTTGTATCTTACTGGATCCCATTATATGTGATAGTATAAACAAAAACTTTTATAGACAAGGAGATTATACAGAAACCATTGTTCATTTTCTGTTAGTTGATTCTAAATACCCTGCAATACTGTCATTCTCTTGAATGGTTTTACATTGTTTTGATGTATTTGATGCTACAGTATACGAAGTTATACTCAAAGATTTCAAAGAAAGAGACAATATGGTAACTATTTTAATGTCGGGATTATCTTGTGGTGAAACACTATTTTGCTTAAATGGTTATGTTTTGATCTGCGCTGATTTGTTGTTATGCCCTCTTTTATCTCAATCTCCATTTTATTATTTACTTTTTTATTTTTATCTTTTTAATTAAGGGAAAAATAAATTAAAAAATAGTAGGATATATTATAGTTGTTGTACTCTAAGAAAATAGCTTCGTTATATGTGTATTATAGCAAACCTGTAAAGTGGCTTACTAAATGTGTTTTTTTTATCCTTTTTCCCTAACTGATATGTTAAGTGACCTAATTGATATGTTGAGCAACACTCTCCTCTGTAAAGAATTGCAAGAATCTCACCTAATTGATGTGTTAACCATTGTTGCCCTCTACAAACTACAGAAGCTGTGCTAAAACAAGCTAACAAGGGTTGTTAATCACTGCTAGGTGCCTCTATTCTCGCTAAAGAGCTAAAGAAGACTAGAATGACAATTAATTTACATTTGTTTAAAGTAACCTGCTTGTGTGCAGAGAGATTTGCGTGTGAGTTTAACCCTTTACCCTGACCTTGACACATAACCGCCGCCGTTTTCTGTTCTGATGGCGCCTTATTGCCTCCCTCTCCCCTCACCTATCTATCTAGGCCATAGAGAATTTGGGTTTCTGGTGACCTCCTCCCAACCCGGTGATGATCTGTCATAAAATGAGCCTGCCCCAAAGTTTAAGAACTGTTTAGCTTCAAAGAAATTACCGGGTAATACTATGGCCCAAACCCCGAACGGTGCTTTCCTTTTGTTCTGTATGTATCAAATGAGTTAGATATCAGATCTTTGTAAAACTTAAGTTCCAGCATCTCATAACTCGTGACCCCTTCGCACTCACTAGCGAAGACGAGCTGTCCTGGGATAATTAACTTCCCCACTTTCTTCTCCAAACATTGCTGCAGATGTGCCACTCCGAGATATGTCAGTCTGTAGGATGGGAGTAATTTGAGAAACACCAGGAACTCCCGAGATTGTCAGAGCTAAGTGGACAGCAATACAGTTTCCAGACTCGGGTCAACAAGTTTGATGGCTCTGCAGGTTTCTTTGTTTCTCCCCCTGCCTTTTCCTCCAGCCTCTTTTTAAAGTCCTCCCTTCAGTCTCGGGAACACAGTTTCCAAATTGGCTCCCGGAAACTGGTCGCCAGGCCTGGAAATAAAGCCTTTGCCACCTAAATTTTCGGTCTCTTGCCTCCTTGGATTTTATACCGGGGCCCAAGTTATAACAATAGTAACCCACTTTGATTTACTATTAACTTGATTTGAAGCCCTGTATTGCTCTCACCATCTTGTTTTGACTGATGTTCCTCTATTCTATTTTGCTTGATAGTACCAGGTTCAAAAGTTTAGGCAACAGCTGTGAAGATAGTGGGATTCATTATGATGCCCATTCTGATTGACTATTATCTACTTTTGAAGACCTGTAATGTCTCCAATGTTTTGGTTTTGTTGGTTTCGTTCTTTACTGTTTTGTTCAATTTTATTATAACTGATGATATAGGCAACTCTATTAGAGATAGCGGGAGGCATTATGGTAACCATTGTTGATCACCTTGTATTATGTTTTTGCATTATCTATTATGTCCACCCTTTTGATTTGACTAACTCTGTTCCGTTATGTCACATTTGGTTTTACTCTCTTCCAAAAAAAGTAATAACTGTGGGAGCAATAAAACCCAAAATGTGCAATAGTCATTGTACAAAAGAGAGGAAAAGAAAGTGCTCTAAATGATATAAATGCATGTATATTTAAGTGTATAAGATAGACAATGATATTACTGAGTTTTGTTGGATCATTGAACAGAACTGTTTGGTCTCACTGTTTGAATGTCCACTATATAAGCTTTAATTTTGTAACTTGAACAAATATTTCTAAGATTTGACAATATGTAATCCATTAACTAGTGATTTCCTACTGTTTATTTTTTTTCTGAAATTATGTATAACTTGTACCCTTTTTCTGCTTTTTTTTTTCTTTTTCTCCTTAAATAAAATAAAAAAAAAAAAAAGAAAAGAAAAGAAAAGCAGCTTTTATGTTCCCTCATCTGAGCTCCTTGGCAGCAGCAACTGAGTTTATTCATCTTTATTCTCAAACTACATAATAGCAAACACCAAGTAAAAACCTGCTGAAGGTACCAATCAATCAAACTCACTTGTCATATAAGATCATGGCATCATTCTGTGCCTCCTGTCCATCATACTGGCCCTTTTTGGCAGCAAGCTGAGACTGAAAGTTATCTGCTGCCAACCAGAATTGTAAAATATTCACTGCATCTTCTTTTTCCATGTACTAAGAAGGAAAAATACAAAACAGGTAAGACTAGACACAGATTACTTTAACCAGCTCTAATCTACAAATTCAAAGTATTAAAATACAGGATATAAAATAAGAAGCAAAAAAGATCCACTTCTTCACTTATACCATTCAGCAACATACAATCATTCGAAATAGAAGTTTTAAAATATTCTTTTAGAATAGAAAAACGCAACCTAAAATGAACAAAATAAAACCATCACAGAGCTAGATGTAAGCTTTAGTGAATTGAAATAAAAATACTAAATTAGATTAGTAGTTCCTTACTGGCAAACACATAAAGAATAAGCTAATCAAACCAAATCTTTTACATCTGATCATTTCTATCATTCCATGAGGACATATTAATCTGAATAAATTCATATTTAAACTTATGGTAAAGAAAAGAAGTGAAAGTCTTCTGAGTAGCTATATTCTTGCAAAGAGGCAGGATCCAAGTATTTAGGTCGCTGCTTTGAGATTGGGAATCCTCCCATAGTTAATGTTTTGCAACAAAAGAATTTCATTTACTGAACCCTGAGACACCGTATGCCTCAAAGATTAGTATGCTTGTTTGTAGTAAATGCTTCATTAGATAATCCTATCAAGCAGCTAAAGTCAAACTGAGAGTAGGAAAATATTTACTATTTTTCAATCTCTCTTCAGAAATCTAGTCCCCAATTCTTTATGCAAAGGAATTAAGTATCAAATTCTGTGGTTCAAAAATAGTTTGAAGTAATTAAAAACCTGCAGTGTTATAACCAGTAGCTTAATTAGGTTTTTAAAATTAAGAGTTATTTTACACTGAATTTTCACGTTCTAATCTGACAAATATGCCACTGAAGTACTCTTGCCATGGAAACAATTGAAAATAAATCATTTTAGAAATGATTCATCTCTTGTATGTCATTTTTTTATACACAGGGACCCAGCATTTATAATTCGGAAGCTGGGAAGCTCTAGTAGACAGAGTATAAAAGGAAATGCAGAATTTACCTCAGAGAAATAAAAGAGGGCTGACTCACAGAAGAGAATGTCAGCCAGGTAAACAGTTCCACTGGTCAGCACTTCAATCTGGTATTTACAGAAATGGTGACTTCGCAGAAACTCACTAAAGTGCCTGCACGTGGACAAAAGGGAAATTTTGAGGGAACAACCAAGGAAAGAGCTTAACTGGGAAAAACAGACTCTTTCCATACTGTCCCAACTGTATCTTAAAGGCTTAGGTCAGGGTTTCCTCACTTCCCATACTGTTGTCCCTGATTCCTTTATGTAAAAAAATCTCTCCCACTTCTTAATGACTTTGCAGCTCTCATCTGACACGATACCTTACAGTAATGCAACCAAAAAAAGCCCTATTTTCTTTCTAACACTATAACTTCCTTCAAGGTAAGAAATAAACTGTGTCCTGCACAAAAGATTTAATAAGTACTGAAGGAAACACATATATACACGTTTAAAGGCATGCAGCAGTAACTAATCTAAAAAACTCTGCAGGAGTTTCAACAAATCTATGTGGATTTATCATATAGTATACAGTGAGCTAAAAGCATAAACTGACAAACTAGAACATCCATCTCAAGATATGCATTTTTTAAACAAACCATTTCTAATTGTCATAGACTTCAGTTGCAATTACACACAAATGACTTTAGAAGTAAAAAAAATCTTTTAACTTAGGCACTATTAACATTAAAAATGAAAACTATTTATCTTCAATAGAGTTCACACAATTTATATTTAGAAGAAATTATTAACCAAGTCTCAGAATATGCTTTTATGATTTTGTAAGTATACAAACTAATTTAATCTTCACACATACTTCATTTTTTCTTGTTGAATGAAGTCCATTCCTACCCCTGAACCCACACTTTCAAGTAAAATGCAAAAATATTAAACTCACTTACTCTTGTTCCATTGCATTAAAGACTATGGCCTGTGCTAAAACGAAACAATTGGGATCCACCTGTCCATCTTCTCCACAAATCTTTGCTGCAAAAGACATAGTAAATAGTTAAGTTTTTATTAAAACCAAACTACTCATTTGTGACTCAAAGGAGAAAAAAACAGAGGTATAAAAATGAATTGAAAGCAACTGAAAGATTTAACAACATAAAACTTCATTAAAATACCCCATTAAAATAAAAACCAACAAAAAATTATTGTACATAGGTAGTTCAAAGATTCATCAAAAACTCTTACAAACTAGTAAGAAATGTCCCACAAGAAAAATGAGCAAATGACATGACAGCTCACAAAAGAACAAACAATATATGAAGACAGTCACTAGTAATCAAGCAAGTTACAATTAGAATAAATAAGGAAGTGCTAGATAGTCTTTGTGTAGTAAATTGGCACAAAATTGTCTTAGTAATGTATCTGAGTAATTGTTAAACAAATACATATTCTTAAGTAAGGGTATGGGGAAAATCACACTGAAATATATACTGGTGTATCTTCCTGTGTTGGGCAATTTGGCAGTTTCTATCATAAAGTTTGTGGGTTTTTTTTTTTTTTTGTCTTTTTCTTTTTTATCGGTACCAAGGATCGAATTCATGACCGCCTGCTTGCAAGGTAGGTGCTTATGCTGCTGAGCTAAATCTCCAGCCCCACTAACATAAAGTTTTAAAAATGAACATAATCTTTCAATCAGTAGTTCTATTTCAAAAGTTGTGACCTAAAGAATTATTAACTTATATAAAGATTCATTGGTTAAAAAAAAGCTTTTTACTCTCACACTCTTCTAGACAATAACCAGCTATGGTACAGTAAAGTATGCATGTGGTCTTTGTCCATTTCTTAGCATACAGCTCCTAAAATTCTTGGGATCCTCCTTAAGGGTTAGTGTCTTTCTATGCAAATGAGATGACTGGGAGCTGAGAGCCTCTAAAGAGCTTTAAGATGGAGACTAGTCATCTGAAAGATATTAGAGTACTGGGAGTTTCAGCAAGTCTCATCCCCCCACCTCTGAAGAGGCACATAAGGCACCCATGGTCAAGAACTTAATCAAACATCCCTATATAATAAGGTCTCTATAACACTGTAAAAGGACAGGGCTAGAGAAGGCAGGCTGCACACAACTGCACACATGGAAGCTTCTGGACAGTAGTGTATCTGATGAAAGCTTGAAAGCTTCACTCTCCTTCTCTTACACTTCACCCTATATACCTTTTCTGTCTAGCTGCTCATTTACGTACTTGTAACATCCTTTATAATATGAACTAACAAAGTGTTTCTCTGAGTTCTATTAGCTACTTTAGGAAATTAAGCAAATCCAAGGAAGGGGGTCATGGAAACCCCAATTTGTAACTCAATGGCCAAAAACAATAGCCACAACCAATACTTGTGAAGTGGTATGGGTAGCCTTGGGGACTATGCCTATGACTCATGGAATCTAATGCTATCACTGTAGAACTAAACTAAATTAAAGGAAACTCAGCCCTTGTCTACTGGAGAATTCTACAAAATTGACATGTAAAAACCCTCACATTTGTGAACACACGTGTTCTACGTTATGTAAATATGGTAGGAGAAAATGAGCTTGTTTTTTCTATATCCTTATATGAGTGCAATTATTTTCATTTTTATTAGTGTAAGTTTGCAGTTCACAATGGTTACATTTATCTTAGGGAGTTGTAAAATGTACACAACCAATCTTAGTTCTTTTTAACGCCCCCTACACCCTCTCCTTCCCTCTTGGTCTCCTCCTTTGCTATACTCCTTGTTTCTGATTATCTTTATTTTGCTCTTTAAATTACTTATACCTTAGATTTCTCACATAAGAGAAACCATTCAATATTTAAACTTCTGTATCTGGATTATTTTGCATAACATTACTGTTTCGAGGTGCATCCATTTTCCTACAAATCACTCCAGTTTATCCTTCCTTATAGCAGAGTAGTGTTTCATTACGTATAAATTCCTCATGTTCTTTATTCATCTGCTGATGGACAGGTAGGCTGCTTTCAAGATTTATCTACTTTAAGTTGTGCGACTATAAACATAGCTATGGATGTGCCTTTAGCTCTTTCAGGTAGATACCTAAAGGGGAATACGCTGGGTCAAACTGAATTTTCAGTTTTAGTTTTCGGAGGAACCTCTGCACTGATTTCCGTAGTGTTGTAGTGCATATGCTCCTAACAACAGGGTTCTTTACTCCCTGTAGCCTTGCCAACACTGTTATTATTTGACTTCTTGATGACAGTCACTCTTTCTGGAACAACACAGAATCTTAGTGTTTTTTCTCTACCAGAGATGTTGAACATTTTTTCACATTTATTGGCCATTTGTACTTCTGAGAAATGTCTATTCATTTCAGTTGTCCACTTTTGATTTGGTCTTTTATATTTGGAGGTCTGATTTTTTTAGTTTTTTACATATTCTAGATATTAGTTCTCTGAGGAGTAGCTGGCAAACCCTTCTATAGATTATTTCTCTCTGTTGATTGTTTTCTTTGCTGTACAGATTTCTCACTTGATATGGTCCTATTTGTTGATTCCTGATGTTTTTTCTTGTACATTAGGGTTCCATTCAGAAAGTCTCTGCTTATGCCTATGTCTTCAACAATTTAGCCTATCTTATTTTCAAGCAGATTAAGTGTTTCTGTTTTAATATTTAGATAGATCATTTTAATTTCAGTTTAGTACATGGTAAATAAGGATCCAGAATCAATCTTTTTCACATGAATAGCCAGTTTTCACCGCATCATTTGCTAACGAGGTTATCTTTCTTCCAGGTTGTTTTTGACCCCTCTGTAAAAATTAGATGGATGAATGTGCCTAGGTCTGTTCTGTTCCACAGATCTACATGTCTGTCTTTGTGGCTATACCATGCTACCTGAGTCACCATAGGTTTGTAATATAACTTGAAACCTAAGATTCTGATGCCTCCTGCTTTGCTCTTATTGTCCAGGACTCCTTTTGCTTTCTGAGTCTCTTTTGGTTCCATATAAGTTTTAGGATTGTTTTCTCCATTTCTGTGAAGAATATTGTTGGTATTTTGATTAGTAGTGTATTAAATCTATATATAATCAGTTTTGGAAGTATGGTTATTTTGACAATACTGATTCTGCCTATCCAGGAACATGGGTATCTATTTTTCTGAGGTCCCCTTTTACCTCCTTTTTTCAGAGTACTACTCATTTTACAGGTCTTTCACTTCTATTGTTAATTTCTATTGTTCTTGTGGTTATTGGAAAATGTTATTGTTTTAATTTCTTTTCCAGTGAGTTGGTATACCAGAACATTACTGATTTCTGTGTACTGATTTTGTATCTGCTTCCTGGCCGAATTTGTTTATTAGCTCTAGAGTTATCTGGTGCAATTTTCTGGGTCTTCTAAGTAAAGAATTATGTTGTCTGCTAATAAAGATAGTCTCATTTGGCTTCTTCCTTTCCTACTCATATCCCCTCTTATTTCTTTCTCTTGCTTGATTGCTTTGGCTAATATTTTGAGTATTATATTTAAAAGGAAGGGTGATAGTGAACATCTTTGTCTTGTTCCTGATTTTACAGGAAAAGCCTTCATTTTCCCCATTTAATATGATGTTAGCAACACCTTCTATTAAACTGAGATGAGGTCTTTCTATTCCTGTTGTCTTCAGGGTTTTTATCATGAATGAATATTGGATTTTGTAAAAGATTTTTTTCTATCTATTGAGATGGTCAGGTGATTTTTGTCCTTGCTTCTGTTTATAAAGTGTATTATTAAACTTGTTGATCTGCATATGCTGAACCATCTTTATATCCCTGGGATGAAGACGACTTGGTCAGCATATATGATGTTTTTGATTTTTTGCATTCTGTCTTCTAGTATTGTATTGAAGAGTTTTGTGTCTATAGTCATTAAAGAGACTGTTTTGTTGTCTTTTTTTTGTTTGGCTCGTTGTCTGGTTTTAGAACCAAGATAATGCTTGCTTCCAGCAATGATTTTGGCAGTATTCCTTCCTTTTCAATTTCACTAGAGCTTGAGGAGAATTGGTAATCAGTTTTCTTAAGTTCTGCAGGGGTGAATTCATCAGGCCCTGAGCTTTTCTAGTTGACGGTTTGGTTTGGTTTGGATAGGGTCTTTTTTGTTGTTGTTGTTGTTGTTTTTTGTTTTGTTTTTGTTTTTGATAGGGTCTTACTATACAGTTCAGGCTAGAATACCGTATGCAACCCAGGCTGGGCTCAAACTGGCAATCCTCCTGCCTCAGCCTCTCTATGTGTTAGGATTACAGGTATATACCACCATGCTCACTTCATTGCTAAGTTTTTATTTTATTGCTGCCTCATTTTGTTGCCTGTTGTTGGGTTTTCATATTATGTTTCCGTATCTTCTTGGTTCACCTGCAGAAAAGCGTATGTATCTAGGAATCCATCCATTTCTTCTAGATTCTCCAATTTACTAGAGTATCTATTGAAGTAGTTACTAATAATCTGAATTTTGGCAGTATTTGTTGTGATTTTACCTTTTTCATTCCTGATTGCATTGACTTTTTTTTTTCTGATGTATTTTGTTCATTCTTTCAAAGAACCAACTATTCAATTCACTGATTCTTTGTATTATTTTTTAGTCAAAATTCATTAATTTCTGATCTGATCTGATTATCTTTCCTTGTGCTAGATTGGTATTTGGGTTGTTCTTGTTTTTTTAGGACTCTGAGGTGCATCTGGAGTTCTTTGGGCTCACTCTGCTTTTCTGACGTGGGTAATCATAGCTACAAGCTCCCCTCTTGCTTCCCTTACAAACCAAACCAAACTATCAACTAAGAAGAGCTCAGAGCCTGATGAGTTCACCTCTGAATTTTTCATTGGGCCCAGTAAATTCTGGTATGTTGTACTGACGCTGTCATTTGACTCTAGGAACTAATTTCTTCTGTCCTCCATTATTAAAGAGTACTGTGTGACTTCTATGTGTTTGCACCATTTGTTTTCTCTTTTGTCACCTATTTCTAGTTTCAAGGCACTATATCCTGATAATACATCTGGGATAATTTCCATTCTTTTTATTTATTTTAGCCTACTTTATGGGGTAGTATGTGGTCTATTTTGGAGAAAGTTCCATGTGCTTCTGAGAAAAATGTGTGTTCTACTGCTGTTGGAACATTTTGTAGATATCTAGTGGGTCCATTTGTTCAAAGGTATAGTTTACTTCTGATGTTTGTGTCATTGTGGAAATCTATTATCATTGATAAGGATTTTTCTTCCTACTTTGCTGAGAAAACAGAAGCAATGGGAAAACTATTTCTATCTGCCAAATCAACAAAATCACACAGGTGTTCTATATTCTTTCCCTACTACAGTTTAATATTCTTGTTCCTACCTAAGCAACCTTCAATTTGAGTAATGGAATTCATTCTCTTTTGCCCAGAGATCTCTCTCCTATAAGAAGTGTCTCTTCTTCATCAACTTTTCCATTGCTGCTGCCTGGTATAATACACTTACATTTTTATATCTCATCTTAAAATTTATATGTTTATATCTCACCTTAAAAACAAAATCAAAGAAAAAAGGAAAACTTTGTAAATGGGGAAAGAAAGAAGGGTTGAAGGGAGATGAGGAGAATGGGGAAAAAAAGAATAAAGACACATTACATACAGATACAAATCTTCTGTGATGAACATGATCATTATGCATATCAAAAGTATATCGATAAATTTTTAAAAAATCCTTTCCTACAAAAAACACCTGAAATCAAAGATCTCATCCAGAAACCATGCTGGGCCTGGGAAGACACCACCAAGAAGTCAGTTCGCCCTTTTGGTAACCCCGCAAACCATGTGGGGTCCGGGAAGAGAGAAGCCAGATGGCCCTCCCATTGAGTCAACCGGGGCATGGAATGAGAATCAAGAACTACTCCCCTCTGCATCCGCTACATCCCATAAGCAACCGGCTGGTTTGAAGGAGAGGCTGAGTTGATAGCAACTGAAGTACAAAAACAGTTAAAGGTTTGTACTGACTGCCTGACTTTGCAGGCCTAAGGCCAGTAGTCTGAGCATCTACTGGGACAAAAACAGCATGCAATATAGCAAATATGGGGGATTTCCCTCTGTCTTGTTTTTGAAATCCAGTATCAATCTCACTGTTTTGTTTTGTTCTGATTTATTGCTTTGCTTTACTCAATGTTCTGTTTTGACTGATTCTGTTCTGTTTTGTTTGATTTTACTATGTCTGGTGGAATGGACGACTATTACAAGATAACAAGGTATATTATGGTAGCCATTGTTGATTTCCTACTATCCTGCTTTGAAATTCTGTACCACTTTTACTGTCTTGTTTTGGTTGGCTTTACTCTTGTTTTGTTGGGTTTTATTCTCTTTAAAACAAAAAAATAAAAAACCAAAGACCTCTTCCCTTCCCTTCACATCCCTATCTAGCTCACCTTCAAAGCAACATTCCATAAAATTTGTCAACACCTGCTGTCTCCCCTCCTCTTCCTATTTTTTCTTAAGAGTCTTCCAATGAAGTTTTTGTCAACAGCCCACTGTAATCAAGATGATCAATGAATACTGGGTTGCCAAATCTATTCAGTTTCTAGAATTCATCCTAACCTATCAGCATCATAAAACATCTTTGACCATTCTTTCCCTGAGACTTATTTTTACCAGAAAAACTCCTCTCTTGATATAAAATGACTACTTCATGGCTGTTACTTGGTCTCTTTTGCTAGTTCTTCCTCATCAACAGACTTCTAATGTTAAACACGCCCCAGAACTCAGTCCTTAAGCCCCTCTGTCCCCTCCTCCCTTGTGTAGGGGATTGAACGCAGGGTCTCATACATGCTAGGCAAGCACTCTACCATTGAGCCAGTGGCAGACCAGTCCTTAACCTCATCCTCCCTCATTATACTCATTCTTATCTATGGTAGCTACCCAACCTTCCGGCTCTAACTCCATCTATATCCTGATAACTTCCAAATACATCTCCAACCTGAATCCCTGATATAAACTCTTAACACAGACATCCAATTGTGCAGTTCCATTAACTATCTAGAAGTATAAAACCAAATTCCTGATTTTCCATAAGCCTTTCTCATCTTACAAATGACAACTCTATAATTTTTTAAAGAGTCATGCTTTCTTTTTTGTCTTCTCATATACTCATTGTTATTAGCTGTTATCTTTTTCAAAGTATTTTTTAAGAATACTACCATTTCAGCCTGAATCGTATAATGAGACCCTGTTTCAAAAAGGCAGAAAATCACAGGGTGTGGTGGCTCCTGCCTGTAATCCCAGCACTCGGAAGGTGGAGACACAAGGATTGTTTTGAGTTCGAGACCAGCCTGGTCTACAAAGTGAACTCAAGGCCTGCCTAAACTGTATAGAGGGACCTTGTCTCAAAAAGAACCCCCCCCCAAAACAAAACAAAACAACAACAACAACAAAAAAAACCTCAACATGAACACAGAGTAATCATACAGCAATACCAAAATTCATGGATAATATTTATAACAAAACTAGGCAGGCTGACATACAATAATTGCCTAAGGGCCTTTGAATAAGTCATTTGAAGCACAGCTTTGTTAAAACGTAAATGGAGGCAAATAATCAGGATGAAATTCAGAAAAGAAAGAGGCTCAAAAAGGAAAAGTGACTTGTCTTAGTTGTATAGGTATTTAACATCCTAAAACACATAATAGACATTGGGATGGAATTTTTTACAGATTCCTAAATCACTCAATGTTACTAACCTGATTCTTCAGATTTTTTTGCTCACGGAATTGCATAACTAATTTAAGTGACAATTTTAGTGACATTTTCATTTTCAAATGTTTTGTTTGGCTCAATATCTCTTCCTCCTTTTCTTTTCTACCCCAGATAATTTAGTAATCAATCAGTACAATCAGACTCCCAAAGGAATCACTAGCCAAATAATTATTCAATTAAGCAAATTCTAAGCAGTTACAAGACCTTAGTCATATTACTAGGGTAAGACAGCACCAAAAAGTCTAGAAGGTGGTAGCAACTAATTCACACCTAAAAATGGAGCCATTACGTAGAAAAAAAACCCAAATCCCTTGATAAAATCTATCAGTAACACTTGGTGAAATAGTATTCCACAAACCTTAAAATACAAACAGATAAGGAAAGTATACCAGCAGCTACAAGATGTAAGTGTTATAGATATCTCTATGGGAAAAAGAAAAAAATAGAAGCAGCATCTGATGGACCCTAAAATAGCCAACAGGCTTCACAAAAAAGTATGGTGAGCTAATTTTTAAGAACCAAAGCTGAGCCTAAAAAGGGTCATACTTTCTCCATAATCAGTTCTCACAGTCAAGACCAAAGAAATGTTCTCACAGTCAGACCAAAGAAACTTTGCCTTAAAAGAATCTGTTACGAGGCCAGGGATAGAGCTCAGCACCATAGTGCCTGCCTGGCAAGTGCAAGGTTGGGAGTTTGATTCCCCAGTACCAAAGGGAAAAAAATAAAATAAAAAATAAAAAGAATTTGTTACGAGTAGAATATCATGTTTTATTTCATAAATCAAAATGCTAAACCTTAGATGAATAAAAATAGAAATCTTAGCAATAGAACTTGGAATATAAGTATCTTTTGAGTGAATAAATTATGTTTCTTTATGAATAATATGTCCACCTGAGGTCTTCCTGAAAAAACACAGTAAAAACTTTCCAGTTAGTTTTTCACTGTGACCCACAGAGAAATACACATGTTGACTAGTATTGAATACACATAAATTTATGCACATATTGCATATGGAATGATGGAAAAAATTTCCTGAAATGAGGTCTTTTTGATTACTCTGAAACACTTTTTATTCTAGTCTTATTTTAGCAGGGATACAAGACCAATGTAGAGTATGAAAATACTGCTACTGCCACCCTAGCACAGCAGTTAAAGGGTGGCTGTCCAGTCTCAAATCTTGACTCTGCTATGTCTGAGCTGTTACTTTGCACAAGGTACTTAACTTCTCATTACTTAAGTTTCCTCACTTACAAAACAGTAATAACTCCACTTATCACACAGGTTCTTCAGATGCTTCAATGAGTTTAATCATGAAAGTCCTCAGAATATCTCCTGGGACATGGTATATGTTCAATAAACATGTATTATTATTGTTCTTATTGTGGCCGCTATTCAAGTATCTGGTAATCTAGGTATCTGGGTCCACACTTAAGACAGAAAATTTTTAAATGCACTCCAATCAGATAAGAAAGTACTCTGAAAATAGACTAGGAAAACAACAATTATATTCCACATTCATAAAAAATTATCTTCGCCAATAACGAAAAAATAATCAAATTTCTGGCAACAGCTTCAAGCACTGCTTACCTATGATGTCATTTCTCATTGCTTCTGTAATTGGTATGGGCTTAGCAGCATCTGGTGATATATATTTAGTGAAAGTATTTACTGCATCTTGTTCTATACCTGCAAAGGAAGAAGGGGGAAACTTCAAAAAGTAACGAGGACCACAGAAATCAATATATTCATGAACAGCACGGCTTTTTTTTTCCTTTTCTTTTTGGCTGCATGGCCACTGTTATGCGGAAAAGTCATATGTGAATTTTCCTTCAGTCTCCTTATGAGCTAACAAATTTCATTATTAACACTACTCTTGCCCCAAACACTAGAAAGAGATTGAACCCAGGGCCTGATGAACGCTACGCAAACACTCTGGCACTGAACTACATCCCCAGCCTTTTTTAATTTTATCATGAGAAAAGGGTCTCACTAAGTTGCCAGGCTAGCCTCCAACTTGTAATCGGACTTCCTCAGGCTCCCATGTATCTGGGATTACAGATGTGTACCAACTCACACCTGCTATTATTGAAGTACATTCTCTTTCCATGTCTCTCCAACTTGAAAGACCTGCACAGCAATGTAACAGCAAAAGCTCAAAATTTATTCATAAATCTATATTTAAAGTACATTATCAAATTATTTTACATATATGAATGAATTCAGTTAATCTTCAAAAAATCTGGGAAGGTTAAACAATAAATTTCTAACTTTTTAACCTCAAGATTTCTTTGTAATCTTAAATATTGTAGTTCAGTAACAAAATGTCTAGTTACTTATCATATTTCCCCAAAAATAAGACCTCGCTAGAAAATAGTAAGCTTTGGAAACTACAGATCAAAAATGCTGGCTCAAATGTTTGCTTCACCTGTCTTACAGAGTAGCCACCAAGCAAGAGAGTAAAATGATGGCAACTAATAGGATAAGCTGACTGAAGCTCTCATTTTTGACCTCCAGGATCCAAGGCTGATTATTTTCCAATTAGGTTCTATTTTCAAGGAAAGCAGTAATGTGTGAGGGCCTGGGCCCAATCCACAGCGCTATAAATACAAAATAATCTTTAAAAGCTTCTGTTTATGTGTGTTTATTTACAGATACTAAGATATTACGAGAATAAAAATGAGAAAAATTACTTAGTTGACATTATCAAATCTTCAAATGTTCAACAAAACTTTTGATAACTATTTTTCAAAATGAAAAAGTTACTGAAAAGACAACATTTTATATCTCTGCAATGCCTTTACGCGTGTTTTGGCAGCAAACTGTTGGATTCACATATTTGTTTGGAATTAACTTATGCTATGTTATTCCAGATAAATATATACTAAGAAAAAGTGACTTTACAAAAATATAGTTCGAAAATACGGAATTTGAGTAGCTTTTTAAGATAACTGTTGATACATTCTTTGATCCTACACCAAAACTTAGCAAGTAGTAGTTTCTAAAACATGAGAATGTAGCACCTGAAACCGTCATCAATGAATTTTTCACATTGTGTTAAGAGTAAAACCTACTGGCCTAGCTAGGCACAGTGGCCAACACCTATAATCTCAGCACCTGGAACACTGAGGCAGAAGGACTGCTGCAAGTCTGAGGCCAGTGTAGGCTACATAGTGTGTGCAAGAGACCAGCCTAAAGTACACACTGAGACCAGTACTGACTAAGATAAAAACCGAAAGAAGGAAAGATCCATCAGACAATGATAAAACAAATCTACTGGGCTATTTTTTTCCCTGTCCTTAACTCATGAATGATCTTATAACACGATATACTTTGGACTAACTGGAAAATCTGACTTACACAATGGCACATCTTATTAAAAAGTATTATAAAACATCAGCCTTCAAACCACCAGTGAATCAAAACAATGAGTACTACTACAACCTGATCTAATGCCAGCAGGTCTTCCCTACCATTGCATTCTTATAGCATTATTATAAATGTCAACACAGTGAAAAAACAAACATCATCCTAGAATTATTACAAAAACAGTTTTAAAAAAAAAAGCCAGGCATGGTGGCACATGCCTGTAATCGCACCACCTGGGAGGTTGAGGCAAGAGGATCAGTGCAAGTTTGAAACCAGCCTTGAGTACAAAGGCAGCACAAGGTCAGCCTGAACTGCACAGTGACACTCTGTCTCAAAAAGATTAAAAAAAAAAAAAAAAAAAAATAGTTTTGATCTCATCAATCTCTTTGAAAAAGTCTCAGAGACCCTCTAGAGGTGTGTACATCACATTAACAAATCCCTAGATTAGCAGAATAAATTATTATCCTCATTTTTATGGAAAAGAAAATTTATATATAAAAAAGTGAAAATCTTATTTGAGTTAAAGTATGGAAGTATGCCAGGCATGGTGACACATTCCCATAACCCTCGCACTTGGAAAGCTGAGGCAGGAGGACTGTAATGAGTCTACACAGAGAGACCCCTCTGCCCCCAAAAGAGTATGCAAATGGGGAGTAGAAGCATAGAGTGTTAAGTCAGGCATGCTGGCACACACCTGTAATTCCAGCACTTGGGAGGCTGAGGCAGGAAGATCACTGGAAGTTCAAGACCAGCCTGAGCTACAAAGTGAGCTCAAGGCCAGTCTGAACTGCATAGTGAGATTTCTCTCTCTTTCTCTTTCTCTCTCTCTCTCTCCTCTCTCTCTCTCTCTCTCTCTCTCTCTCTCTCTCTCTCACACACACACACACACACACACACACAGAAAAAGAGTATAAGGTTTTTATGTATTTGAAGTTGCTACCAGCTTAAAATACTTATATTTATTTTGGCCGCATAGCAGAGTCACAGAAAATACCTGGAGAAGTGCTGGGGATTTAGCTCAGCAGCATAAGCGCCTGCCTGGCAAGCGCAAGGTTGTGAGTTTGATCCCTAGTACCAAAAAAAAAGACATGTTTGGGCTCAGTGGCAGAAGCACCTGTCTGGCAAGTGTGAGTTTATACTGATCCCCAGTATCAAAAAAAAAAGAGAGAAAAAAAGCTGAGGGTTTAGCTCAGCGGCACAAGTGCTTGCCTGACACAAGACACACATTTGGGCCAGCAGTGGCATAAGCGCCTGCCTGGCAAGTACAAGGTCGTGAGTTCGATCACTGGTACTCCCCCCCGCCAAAAAAACAAAACAAAACAAAAAAAAAAACTGGAGAAAATGCACATAGGAAAAAGAAAAAAGAAGCAAAATATATCACTACACAAAAAAAATTTAACAAAACATAAAGGAAAATGGAAAAAGGAGTCATATAAGATAAAACGATTTAAAAACTGACAGTAAAGTCTTTGTCTATCAATAATTATATTAAATGTAGATTGATTATATTTCTCAACAAAAAGAGTGACTGAGTAGATTAAAAATAAAACATTAGAATTTGCTGTCTAAAAACACCTAAATCTTTTAGATTTAAGGATAATCACAGGGGGCTGGGGATTTAGCTCAGAGGCATAAGTGCCTGCCTTGCAAGCGCATGGTCATGAGTTTGATCCCTGGTACTGATTTTTAAAAAAAGATAATTACAGATTAAAAGTGAAGGAACATAAGAAGATATTCCACATACATGGAAAAAGATATTCCATGCAAACAGCAACTGAAACAGCCATATCTGTATCAGACAAGATAGGTTTTAACTCAAAAATTTTTAACTTAAACATTGATAGAGCTGGAGAGAAAAACACACAGCAACTTAGTAATAAGACTCTTCAACATCCTACTTTCACTGATGAACAAAACAATCAGGCATAAAATTAGTAAGGAAACAGGGAACTGAAACATCATGGAACAACTACACCTAACAGACCTAACACTACCTTCCACCCAACAGCAGCAGTTATTCTTAAGTACACAAACCACAACCCCCAGTGTGGATGAGACACTAGGTCATGACACAAGTCTCTTTTGTTTCGGTACCAAAGATCAAACTCATGATCTGGCACTTGCCAGGCAGGTGCTTGTGCCGCTGATCTAAACCTTTATCCAATGAAACAAGTCTTAACAACTTTAAAAAGACTGAAATCATAGCAAGTAGCTTTTCCAATCACAATAGAATGAAACTAGAAATCAACAGCAGAAAGAAAACTGGGCAGTTCAAAAGTAAGTGGAAGTTAAACAACATACACTTGAACAACGGATAAGAAAAAGAACAAATCAAAAGGGAAATCACAATATATCTTGGAGTAAGTAAAAATATAACATATTAAAACTTCCAGAATAACAAAAGCAGTAATTTATAATAACAAATATCTAATTTAAAATTAAAAGAATCCTCAAGAAACTAAGGAATGAGCCATGCATGGTGACACATGACTATAATGCCAGCACTTGGGAGGCTGAAGCAGGAGGATTGTTGCAAGTTTGAGACCAGCCTAGGATACAACGTGAGCTCAAAATCAGCCTAAACTGTATAATAAGATTCTGTCTCCAAAAGACAAAACAAAACAAATAAACAAACAAACATAAAACATCTATGAAATTAAAAGCTAAACCCAATGTTAGCAGACAGAAGGAAATAATACAAATTAAAAGCAAAACTAAACAAAATAGTGAAAACAGAAAAAAAAAATCAATGAAACAGAAATGACTTGGGAAAGATCAGTAAAGCTGACAAACCTTTATCTTGACTAAGAAGAAAAGATTCAAATAAAATTGGGAATGAAAGAAGAGATATTACAAGAGTTGCCACAGAAGTAAAGGATCATAAGAGATTACTGTACTATCTAAAAAATGCATAAATTCCTAAAAACAAAACTTATTAATGCTGAATCACAAATTAATAGAAAATCTGGACAGACCTATAACTAGAAAAGAGATGAAAAGGAACACAGCTGGAGATATCACAATTTCTGACTTCAACATATATCATTCTCAATTTTTTTCCTTTTTTTGTACTGACGATTGAACTCATGACCTCATGCTTGTCAGGAAGGCACTTGTACTACTAAGCTAAATTCCCAGCTTCAAAATATATCACAAAACTAAAGTAATTAAACAATACAGTACTGACATAATAAAAAAAAAAAAACCAAATAAACCAATGAACTAGGATAAAGGATTCAAAACTAAATATAAACATTTAGCTGATTTTTAGTAAGATCATTGGGCCCTTTATCATGACATGCCAACCTAATTGGACTAAG